GGCTGCCACTTCTGCCTCCCGTGGGTGCCAGGGGAAGCAGTCCTTCCGGAAGGCGGGGGCTGGGGGTGGGCGTCCCAGGAAGCTCCGGAGGGCCTGCCAGCTCCCTGCTGTGGGGTTTCGGTTCCGGGGCGCTGGGGAGGGTGGTCCCCGGGCAGGGGTGGGGGGCGGACGTTCGTGCTCAGAGCCTGGCTTGTTTCTGGTCGGGTCGGGGGCTGGCTCCCCGGGGGTCTTCTTGCCTGCCCGTGCCCGTCTGCTCCTGCCCCCTGCCCAGCTCCTGCCTGGGGCCCCTCCCCACACTCGCTCGCCTCTGCCGGGCTTCCTGCTTGGCTGGGCCTGGTGCCCTCCTGGCCCCCAGGACGTGCGGCCTGGGCCCCGGATCCCAGCCCAGGGCCTGCTCGGACGCCGCCCTGCTGGGCCCTGCCGGTTTGGGAGAGCGGCGGAGCCCCCTGAGCCCCGCTTTCCAAAGCTTGGGGGTCCCCTGGCCACGAGGCTGCGAGGCTCGCCTTGGGCTGGCATTTCCTGTTGCCTCCCCCGCCTTCCTTGGCAGAGGCCGGAAGGGAGTTGGTGGGGGTTCCCCGGCTTCCTTCTGGGGGGCCTGGGGCGGGGGTGGGGAGGCAGGAGGGCCTTCTGGAGGAGGGAGCCCATGCGGTTGGGGGCTGTTGGCTGGGGGAATGCCCCCTGCCCCCCAGAGGGAGCCCAGGGCCTCCTCCTTGGCCATGCCCAAGCTTGCATACAGCTCCCACTGGGAACTCACCACCTCAAGACGCGGGCGGTGCCTGTACCGTGGGAACAGTCTCTGACTGTGCCGAGTGTAACCTTTCACCCCTCCCCTGGGCCTTGCAGTCACTGCTGTGCCCTGGGCGCTGAGCCTCCCGGGACGGGTCGTCTCTGCGCCATGCGGTCCATTTCTGGTCTCCAGGTGTTTGCATTTAAGAGTCAGTTAATGGCCTGAAACGCTTTCTGTGTCAAGAAAGAGGTCTGTCCCTCACCCCGCCAGGCAGGCCTTCCTGACCTGAACCCGGCAGCGCTTGCAGTCACTTTGCCCGGGTCGGGGCTGCCCGCCTCTTCTTGGAGGTCCCTGTGTACTCCGAGGCCGCGGCCTCTTCTGAGGCCTGGTCTCACCGCTTGCTGCTGGTCTGGTCCCGAGGGGCAGGGAGGGTGTCAGCGGAGGGCGGTTCTGGGCCCGGGTCAGGTTCTGGGCAGGGAGATTCCGGAGTTGGGCTTTGCCCCTCCTCCGGAGCTCATGGGTCCTCGTGGGTGGGGAGGGCTGGGTGTCAGCGGCTTCCAGGGGGGTGTCTGGGCCTGAGCCTTGAGCCCTGAGCCCTGCAGCCCAGGATCAGATAAGCATGTAGTGACTGCCGGTGGCAAGTCCCCTGCAAGTCCAAAGTATGACTTCAAGAAGAGTGCCTTATCGTAGCCACTGCTTATCAGAGGGTGGGGACACACGCTGGCCCGGAAGAAGCAGAGCCTGCGTGCACGTGGAGCAGGGGCTGTTTGGGCGCTTTTCTTCCTGATGTTCCCTGCCTGGCCAGACTCCAGAAGACTCCAGAAAACACACCAGGGCATTGTCACCCGGGCTCCGGGAAAGTGTCTGCTGCGGGCGTCGCGTGTCAATGGGAAGGGCCCTCAGTGGGGGCCTGGGGGCTGTGGGGGTCGCCGAGGTGGGCATGGGCTGAGGTGGCCCCTCCCTGGGGCTCGTAGCCCCCTGGTCTGGGGCGGTTGGTGTACACGTGAGCCTGGGGGCCGGCCTGGGGAACCAGGCCCTCCCCTTTGCATTTGGGGGGTGGGCTGTACCCAGGACTGCTGCCCCCATCCACCCCCCGTCTCCTCTTTCTCCCAGCGCCCCCCTTCCTCATGCCAGGCTCTCCCGCTGTTTTCCAGCACCTGCCTCCCCCTCTTTGCGGTTCTCATACTTGGGGTGCCGCCTGGCAGCTGGCAGCCAAACAGGCCACTTCCCTCCTTCCTTCTGGCCAGAGCTTTCTCCTGCCTCTCCCGCCTCTTCCTGCCAGGGAGCAGCAAACAAACAAGTAAGCCAGCGGCTCAGGCCCAGCAGGCCCAGCTCAGACCCGCGAGTGTCTGCCGCTGTGGGAGTGGGGAGCTCTGCGGCCCTGCCCCGCGGGCATGGCTGGCCAGCAGCGGGGGCCGCAAGGGGCTCCGGGCCCCCTGGCCCTGCCGGCTGCACTCCTCCCCTCACGGGAGCCGCCTCCGAGAAGCCCCTTTGTCTTCTCCAATCTGAGACTCTCCAGTGCCCCAGGATGGCCAAGTGGAGGTGGGGAAACTGCAGGAAGCCTCGGGTGACGTCTCCCTCTTGGTCGCAGACCCCCGTCTCGTTTCCAGAGGAGAACGGTGGGCGGCTCTCCTCAGGAGGCCAGGCCCTCGGGCTTCTGGATGCAGAGGGCGGAAGGCTCACCTGATCTGTGGCCCCAGTGGTAGCCGCTGTGCTCTCTGGGGATGATGCCCGCAAAACAGACATTGTAATGTCCATCTTGCTCCCCCCCTGCCACCTGGAGATCAGAAGGGTGCTTCTCAGGACTCAGTGACGGGGAGGGGCCCGTGCCAGCCTGCACCCTGCAGCAGGGTTCCTCACGCAGGGAGGGGGTGGCGAGGGCTGGTGAAGTGGGCATCCCAGGGGCCCTGGGGAAGGAGCAGTGACTGTGGGCCTGGGGGCAGCTGCAGGCTTGGGGGGGTCACGCCTGCTGCACATTTTCTTGTCCGTCACAGGTGGGTGGACAAGGTCGCGGGCCTTCAGTGAGGTCGAGGGTGTGCAGCCAGACGTTGTGTCTGCTTCTCCTCCTGCAGCCTGCCTGCTCTTGCCAACCCCTGGGGGAAGACCCCTGGGCACACAGGCGTAGGCATCCTCTCGTGGGTCATGTGTGAAAGTCGCTCCGTCGTGTCCGACTCTTTGCGACCCCATGGACCCTACAGCCCATGGGATTCTCCAGGCCAGGACACTGGCGTGGGTAGCCTGTCCCTTATCCAGGGGATCTTCCCGACCCGGAAGTCAAATCCAGGTCTCCCTCATTGCGGGCAGATTCTTTACCAGCTGAGCTGCAGGGGAAGCCCAGGAATACTGGAGTGGGTAGCCTTTCCCTTCGCCAGGGGGTCTTCCCGACCCAGGGGTCGAAGCGGGGTCTCCCGCACTGCAGGTGCATTCTTTACCAGCTGAGCTGTCAGGGAAGCCCCCTTAGGCGGGTGCAGGGAGCTTGGTGGCTGTTAGGGCTGGGTTGCAGTTCCCATCTAAGCCAGTAGGTGCCGCCATATGGACCTGGACTCCGTGAGCTCTTATTTTCAGTGAAACGTTTGTGCTCCTTTCTTTGAATGGCGAGGGTTTCAGATGAGGCTGTCTTGCTGGTGCAGTGGCAGATGGGCCCCTACTCCCTGGCTTGGAATTCCAGGCCCACTTGCCATGCCCCTCCTCCCTCAGAGGGCACGTGAGGGACGGGGTGTCCAGCAAGCTGGGAGCTGCAGGAAGGAAACCGGTAAGAGCTCCTGGAGAAGGGGGTCCCCAGGGTTGGCAGAGCCTCTTGTGTGCCTGCGGGGACCAGCCCACAGAGTGGGGTGCCTGGCACCTCCGTGGACAAGTCTGGAAGGCCCTGGGTGATAGCTCAGCTCCGGCCAGAGTCGGGCCTGCCTGGCTGTGCCTGGAGGTGGCAGTCTCCTGCAGCGCGTCCCCAGGACTGTTGGTACCGGTGACCAGTGCGGGGGAGGACTTGGGGGTGATGCCCAGACAAGGCTTCTTCCTGCTGTGAGCCTGGCGCTCTGTGCACAGCTGCTCTCCGGTTTGGGCATGCGAAATCCTCCTGGGGCTGTTGGGTGGTCCAGGCAGGGTGTCTCCCCAACCTGGGGGTGCCTGGAGAGGGCCACTGCATTGCATCTTTGGCCCGCTCGACTTGTCAGAAGCTTGTGTGATCACTGCAGGCCTGGCTGGAAGGCCCGGAGACCGTTTTGCAGACGGGAAGGCTGAGGCCCCGGGCGGGGTCGGGGGTGGGGTCCTGCTGTACTCGGGGCACCCTGCCAGACAGAGGCAGGGTTCGCTGTGGCCTGCAGCTCTGGCTGCAGCTGCCTTGTTTGGGCCTCTCTGAGTTCCCGTGGTCTGCTCAGGCCCTCGGGCGGCAGTTTCACCCCAGAGAGCCTCCCTCCTGTGGAAGCTTCTCGCTGAGCCCTCGGGGTGGGGAGGGGAGGCCCAATTAGTGCTTGACGGGACTTGGAAAACCCTGGGATGAAAGGCTGGCGTGTGGGAGGTCTGGGCCTCTCACCGCAGCTTCTGTAGGCTGCCTGTCTCCAGCCTGGCGCACACCCGGGCCCCTCCACCAGGAACCCTGGGAAGCTCCCCGCCCCCGGGCCACAGGCCACCAGGCCCCGGGCACACAGGAAGCCGTACCTCTCCAAGGCCCCATGTGTTAGAGGGCCTGGGGGTGTGGTGTCTCGGCCACCGCTGCTTGGGTCCCTGAGCAGGCCCGTGTGTGCAGCGGGTAGTTGGGAGGACGCAGGGCCTCAGTTCCCCTTCTGTAAAACGGGGTAATGGGACCTGCCATGTACGTCCCAGCTTGGCTCGCTCATCCACACTGAGGACATGGACTGTTTCTGCTGCCTGGTGGGTGTGGTGGAAATGTCAGCCTTCAGGGTTTTTATTATCCCCGGACTTTCACCTTGACCCCCTGAGTAGATGGGCAGAGAGGCTGGCAACTCCGGGCCACCGGGCATTTCAGGTGGATGGCCCTGGGGTGCTGCGGGTTCGAGGGGCAGCCATCTGGCCTCCCTGCCCGGGTAGGCTGTCAGCCTGCCCTTCCTACGTCTGCCTCAGGCCCAGCCTAAACCTTGGAGCTGGGCCGGGCTGGCGGGCACCCCGGAGGGGAGCTCTGGGTGTGCCCGGCCGGGGCTTCCCGGCCGGCAGGGCAGTCGCTTGCCATTCCAGGCCTGGCGTGGTCGCCGCGGCCCGAGGGGTAGCGGGTCGCCTGTGCGGGCTCCTGACCGGCCGCCCGTGGCTTCTTGTCTTGCAGACTTCTCCGCGCAGGTGAACTCCTCCTCCCTCAGCTCCCCCGCGGCGCGCAGCTCCATGGCCGCCCCCTCGCTGCACCCCTCCCTGGGGCCCAGCATCGGCTCCTCGCTTGGCTCCCCGGGACAGCTGCACTCACCCATCAGTACCCTCAGCTCGCCCATCAACGGCATGGGCCCGCCCTTCTCGGTCATCAGCTCCCCCATGGGACCGCACTCCATGTCGGTGCCCACCACACCCACCCTGGGCTTTGGCACCGGCAGCCCCCAGGTAAGTGCCGGGTGGGGCCTGGACCAGGGGTGGGGCCTGGACCAGGGGGCGGGGCCTGGGCTAGGGGCGGGGCCTGGACCAGGGGGCGGGGCCTGGGCTAGGGGCGGGGCCTGGGCCAGGGGCGGGGCCCGGACCAGAGGGGCGGGGCCTGACTAGGGGGCGGGGCCCGGACCAGAGGGGCGGGGCCTGACTAGGGGGCGGGGCCCGGACCAGGGGTGAGGGGCCCGGACCAGGGGTGAGGGGCCCGGACCAGGGGCCAGGGCCTGACTTTACCTGCACCTTCTGTGGCCCCTGGGAAGGGGGTGCCATCACTTCTACCTTCTGCCTCTGGAGTAGTCTCAGAGAGGTGACCTGGGCTTGGTGGTCTCCATGGTCGAGTTTGCTCAGATGCTTCTCGAAACAGTCTGTCTTTTGGGGTTGTGTCTGGATCAGGAGGCAGCTGGCACTTGGCAGAGCCAGCTCTTGTCTGGGAGACCCCTGAGGCCTGGTCCACTGCCCACCCCCGCCAACCCACCTGGTGTGGGTGCTTCTTGTCTGAACCCCGACAGAGCTGCCCGGGGTGCCAGGACCCCAGCTGCTCATCTTCTTTCCTGGCTCTGATGGTCTCCTGGTGGAGTTTTTGCTGAATGTCTGGGAGGTCTGCTTGAATCCCAAGGGTCCTCCCTGTTTCTGGGGCTCAAACTGTCTTTCCTGACAAAGCTGGGTTCCCCTTTTCTGAATGTCATTCATGTCTGGGAGCAGCTGTCATCCTTGTGGAGGAAGGTCCCCATAGAGAAAGACCAACCCCACTAGAGGAAGCCCCCCCTGTGGAGAAAGCACCCCTCCCCCTTAGAGGGAGGTCCCAGTAGAGGAGGCCCTCGTAGAGGAAGGCCCCTCCCATCAAGGCGGCCCCAGTAGAGGGGGCCCCCCATAGAGGAATGGTCCCCATCAAGGCGGCCCCAGTAGAGGGGGCCCCCCATAGAGGAATGGTCGCCATCAAGGCGGCCCCACTAGAGGGGGCCCCCATAGAGGAAGGGCCCCCATCAAGGCGGCCCCAGTAGAGGGGGCCCCCCATAGAGGAATGGTCCCCATCAAGGCGGCCCCAGTAGAGGGGGCCCCCCATAGAGGAATGGTCCCCATCAAGGCGGCCCCAGTAGAGGGGCCCCCCCATAGAGGAAGGGCCCCCATCAAGGCGGCCCCGGTAGAGGGGGCCCCCCATAGAGGAAGGGCCCTCCCATCAAGGCGGCCCCAGTAGAGGGGGCCCCCCATAGAGGAATGGTCCCCATCAAGGCGGCCCCAGTAGAGGGGGCCCCCCATAGAGGAAGGGCCCCCATCAAGGCGGCCCCAGTAGAGGGGGCCCCCATAGAGGAAGGGCCCTCCCATCAAGGCGGCCCCAGTAGAGGGGGCCCCCCATAGAGGAATGGTCCCCATCAAGGCGGCCCCAGTAGAGGGGGCCCCCCATAGAGGAATGGTCCCCATCAAGGCGGCCCCAGTAGAGGGGGCCCCCATAGAGGAAGGGCCCCCATCAAGGCGGCCCCAGTAGAGGGGGCCCCCATAGAGGAATGGTCCCCATCAAGGCGGCCCCAGTAGAGGGGGCCCCCCATAGAGGAAGGGCCCTCCCATCAAGGCGGCCCCAGTAGAGGGGCCCCCCATAGAGGAAGGGCCCTCCCATCAAGGCGGCCCCAGTAGAGGGGGCCCCCCATAGAGGAATGGTCCCCATCAAGGCGGCCCCAGTAGAGGGGGCCCCCCATAGAGGAATGGTCCCCATCAAGGCGGCCCCAGTAGAGGGGGCCCCCATAGAGGAAGGGCCCCCATCAAGGCGGCCCCAGTAGAGGGGGCCCCCATAGAGGAATGGTCCCCATCAAGGCGGCCCCAGTAGAGGGGGCCCCCCATAGAGGAAGGGCCCTCCCATCAAGGCGGCCCCAGTAGAGGGGCCCCCCATAGAGGAAGGGCCCTCCCATCAAGGCGGCCCCAGTAAAGGGGGCCCCCCATAGAGGAATGGTCCCCATCAAGGCGGCCCCAGTAGAGGGGGCCCCCCATAGAGGAATGGTCCCCATCAAGGCGGCCCCAGTAGAGGGGGCCCCCATAGAGGAAGGGCCCCCATCAAGGCGGCCCCAGTAGAGGGGCCCCCATAGAGGAATGGTCCCCATCAAGGCGGCCCCAGTAGAGGGGGCCCCCCATAGAGGAAGGGCCCTCCCATCAAGGCGGCCCCAGTAGAGGGGCCCCCCATAGAGGAAGGGCCCTCCCATCAAGGCGGCCCCAGTAGAGGGGGCCCCCCATAGAGGAATGGTCCCCATCAAGGCGGCCCCAGTAGAGGGGGCCCGCCATAGAGGAATGGTCCCCATCAAGGCGGCCCCAGTAGAGGGGGCCCCCCATAGAGGAATGGTCCCCATCAAGGCGGCCCCAGTAGAGGGGGCCCCCCATAGAGGAAGGGCCCTCCCATCAAGGCGGCCCCAGTAGAGGGGGCCCCCATAGAGGAAGGGCCCTCCCATCAAGGCAGCCCCAGTAGAGGGGGCCCCCATAGAGGAATGGTCCCCATCAAGGCGGCCCCAGTAGAGGGGGCCCCCCATAGAGGAATGGTCCCCATCAAGGCGGCCCCAGTAGAGGGGGCCCCCCATAGAGGAAGGGCCCTCCCATCAAGGCGGCCCCAGTAGAGGGGGCCCCCATAGAGGAATGGTCCCCATCAAGGCGGCCCCAGTAGAGGGGGCCCCCATAGAGGAATGGTCCCCATCAAGGCGGCCCCAGTAGAGGGGGCCCCCCATAGAGGAATGGTCCCCATCAAGGCGGCCCCAGTAGAGGGGGCCCCCCATAGAGGAATGGTCCCCATCAAGGCGGCCCCAGTAGAGGGGGCCCCCCATAGAGGAATGGTCCCCATCAAGGCGGCCCCAGTAGAGGGGGCCCCCCATAGAGGAAGGGCCCTCCCATCAAGGCGGCCCCAGTAGAGGGGGCCCCCATAGAGGAAGGGCCCTCCCATCAAGGCGGCCCCAGTAGAGGGGGCCCCCATAGAGGAAGGGCCCTCCCATCAAGGCGGCCCCAGTAAAGGGGGCCCCCCATAGAGGAATGGTCCCCATCAAGGCGGCCCCAGTAGAGGGGGCCCCCCATAGAGGAATGGTCCCCATCAAGGCGGCCCCAGTAGAGGGGGCCCCCCATAGAGGAAGGGCCCCCATCAAGGCGGCCCCAGTAGAGGGGGCCCCCCATAGAGGAATGGTCCCCATCAAGGCGGCCCCAGTAGAGGGGGCCCCCCATAGAGGAATGGTCCCCATCAAGGCGGCCCCAGTAGAGGGGGCCCCCCATAGAGGAAGGGCCCCCATCAAGGCGGCCCCAGTAGAGGGGGCCCCCCATAGAGGAATGGTCCCCATCAAGGCGGCCCCAGTAGAGGGGGCCCCCCATAGAGGAATGGTCCCCATCAAGGCGGCCCCAGTAGAGGGGGGCCCCCATAGAGGAAGGGCCCTCCCATCAAGGCGGCCCCAGTAGAGGGGGCCCCCCATAGAGGAATGGTCCCCATCAAGGCGGCCCCAGTAGAGGGGGCCCCCCATAGAGGAATGGTCCCCATCAAGGCGGCCCCAGTAGAGGGGGCCCCCATAGAGGAAGGGCCCCCATCAAGGCGGCCCCAGTAGAGGGGGCCCCCCATAGAGGAATGGTCCCCATCAAGGCGGCCCCAGTAGAGGGGGCCCCCCATAGAGGAATGGTCCCCATCAAGGCGGCCCCAGTAGAGGGGGCCCCCCATAGAGGAATGGTCCCCATCAAGGCGGCCCCAGTAGAGGGGGCCCCCATAGAGGAAGGGCCCCCATCAAGGCGGCCCCAGTAGAGGGGGCCCCCATAGAGGAATGGTCCCCATCAAGGCGGCCCCAGTAGAGGGGGCCCCCCATAGAGGAAGGGCCCTCCCATCAAGGCGGCCCCAGTAGAGGGGCCCCCCATAGAGGAAGGGCCCTCCCATCAAGGCGGCCCCAGTAGAGGGGGCCCCCCATAGAGGAATGGTCCCCATCAAGGCGGCCCCAGTAGAGGGGGCCCCCCATAGAGGAAGGGCCCTCCCATCAAGGCGGCCCCAGTAGAGGGGCCCCCCATAGAGGAATGGTCCCCATCAAGGCGGCCCCAGTAGAGGGGGCCCCCATAGAGGAAGGGCCCTCCCATCAAGGCGGCCCCAGTAGAGGGGGCCCCCATAGAGGAAGGGCCCTCCCATCAAGGCGGCCCCAGTAGAGGGGGCCCCCATAGAGGAAGGGCCCCCATCAAGGCGGCCCCAGTAGAGGGGGCCCCCATAGAGGAAGGGCCCTCCCATCAAGGCGGCCCCAGTAGAGGGGCCCCCCATAGAGGAAGGGCCCTCCCATCAAGGCGGCCCCAGTAGAGGGGGCCCCCCATAGAGGAATGGTCCCCATCAAGGCGGCCCCAGTAGAGGGGGCCCCCCATAGAGGAAGGGCCCTCCCATCAAGGCGGCCCCAGTAGAGGGGCCCCCCATAGAGGAATGGTCCCCATCAAGGCGGCCCCAGTAGAGGGGGCCCCCATAGAGGAAGGGCCCTCCCATCAAGGCGGCCCCAGTAGAGGGGGCCCCCATAGAGGAAGGGCCCTCCCATCAAGGCGGCCCCAGTAGAGGGGGCCCCCATAGAGGAAGGGCCCCCATCAAGGCGGCCCCAGTAGAGGGGGCCCCCCATAGAGGAATGGTCCCCATCAAGGCGGCCCCAGTAGAGGGGGCCCCCCATAGAGGAATGGTCCCCATCAAGGCGGCCCCAGTAGAGGGGGCCCCCATAGAGGAAGGGCCCTCCCATCAAGGCGGCCCCAGTAGAGGGGGCCCCCATAGAGGAATGGTCCCCATCAAGGCGGCCCCGGTAGAGGGGGCCCCCATAGAGGAAGGGCCCCCATCAAGGCGGCCCCAGTAGAGGGGGCCCCCATAGAGGAATGGTCCCCATCAAGGCGGCCCCAGTAGAGGGGGCCCCCCATAGAGGAAGGGCCCTCCCATCAAGGCGGCCCCAGTAGAGGGGGCCCCCCATAGCGGAAGGGCCCTCCCATCAAGGCGGCCCCAGTAGAGGGGGCCCCCCATAGAGGAATGGTCCCCATCAAGGCGGCCCCAGTAGAGGGGGCCCCCCATAGAGGAAGGGCCCTCCCATCAAGGCGGCCCCAGTAGAGGGGGCCCCCCATAGAGGAAGGGCCCTCCCATCAAGGCGGCCCCAGTAGAGGGGGCCCCCCATAGAGGAAGGGCCCCCATCAAGGCGGCCCCAGTAGAGGGGGCCCCCCATAGAGGAATGGTCCCCATCAAGGCGGCCCCAGTAGAGGGGGCCCCCATAGAGGAAGGGCCCCCATCAAGGCGGCCCCGGTAGAGGGGGCCCCCCCATAGAGGAAGGCCTGTCCATCTAGGAGGCCCCAGTGGAGGGGGCCCTGTGAGGGGAGCTCTGGAAGCCGTCTCCCTGGGGGGCAGTATAGCGGGCTCGAGAGGGACCCCAGCACAGGACCCCCACCCAGAGACGTGTGGCTAACGTGTCAGCGTGTCCCGCAGGCTGCCTGCTGCCCAGGAGCTGCCCTGCCTCCAGGACTCCCCGCTCCTGGCACAGGAGGGCGGGGCACTTTGAGGTCTGGAGCCCACGTCCCTTCCGGTCGGCTGGGCCTGTCTGGAGCTGGTCTCGGTGGAGCACCGTCTGGCTCTTCTGGGCCCCTCGTCAGTCCCTTTGTTCCTGGGGGGCCTGTGCTCCCTTGTGCCCCCTGGCCTTCCAGAAGCAGACAGAAGGCTGGAGGGTTGGCACGAGGGGTCGCAGCCGCCTTCCTGGGCCTGGCCGTGTTCTTTGTAGCGTAGCCACCACACCCCGATCCTCCCTGGCTGCAGTGCCTGCCGCTCAGCGAGAGGCAGACGAGGGCCCGCCCACACCTGTCCCCTGGGAACCGGGCCAGAGGCAGCACCTGCTGGTTCTCGGGCCACAAAGCTCCTTGCTGCCCCCGGGCCTGGTGCCTGCCCTGCATGCCCCGAGGGCTATGTGTGGAGGAGCCTGGGTATGAGTCTGGAGTGGGGGCTCTGCGGGGCAGGGCCCGAGGGTGGCAGTGATGCCCCCCAAGCCTTGGGGGTTAGCCTGTTTGGGGGAGGGGAGGGGGGTTTGGGGCCTCGTCCGTCCTAGTCTATGTTGCTGCCAGCACACAGCAAGGCTCCCGGCACGCGATGCGTGCTTGTTGAGTGCAGGTGCCTGTGAGCGAGGAGCCGCAGGTCCCCTGAGGCTGATGCCGGGGTTCAGGGAGCGGAGGGGTGCGGGTGTGTCCCCGACGTTCACTGCTGATGTGCTGCTCGGCTGTCCGCCTGTCCTTCTGTAGCTCGGTCAGGCCACCGCTGATGCGCTGCTCGGCTGTCCACCTGTCCTTCTGTAGGTCGGTCAGGCCACCGCTGATGCGCTGCTCGGCTGTCCGCCTGTCCTTCTGTAGGTCGGTCAGGCCACCGGTAGTTTAGCCATAGGCTGAGCCCAGGGCCACCATTCCTGGGAAGGCCTCGGTCACCACCACCCTGCCCCCCATAACTCCTTCCTCGGAAGCCGAGTTTAGCTTCTAGGCATCAGCAGTTTGTCTTAGAAACTTGGGGTTCCCCTTATTCATGGAAGTGTGGGTGGAGTTCGGGGGGGCATCCCCCCACCTCCGCCTCAAAACCACAACCGCGAAGTCATGGAGCCGGAACCAGTGAGGCGGTCTGACTTCTGCTGGTGGGGACGGCCCCCCACTCGACCACGCCCTGCGGGGAAGTGGATGTGGGTGGGGCTGGGGGCTCTGGGCAGAACCAGGCTGGGCCGCAGGCACTGTGGCCTGAGCTGCCTCTCCTCTCCCATGGTTCGGGGGCTCCATCAGCCCAGGGGGCGTTCCCCACCTCAGCCCAGAGCTCGCCTGCAGTGCCGGGCATGGGTGGGCACCTTGGCACCCTGACCTCGCCACCTTGGCGAGCCTCCCTGGGCAGGACGCGCGTGGGCCCTGCCTGTCCTTGTTGTGGGCACCGCGGCCGTGAGGCTGTGTCCACCAGGCTAAGTGTGGGGGTTTGTCCCTGGCCTTGATGGGCAGGCAGAGGCCCATGGGGTTTAGGGGCCTCCCACTCCATGCTGATGGGGGTGATCGGCCTCACCCGTGAGGGCTGGAAAGGAAGGGTGTGGTGGGCGTGGACGAGGGGCGTCGAGAGACAGGAGGAGATCTGGGGCCCCGATGGAGCTGGGCGGTTATCTCAGTCAGTCCCGAAGGCTCCGCGGGAACTAAGATGAATGCCAAGGACGCGAGAGGGGAAATGGGATGGGCTCCCACCCTGGGTACGCCGCGGAGCCGCCACTGATGCTGACCGTGCCTGAGGGCTCCGTCCCTGGTGCTAAGGCCCGCCTCAGGTTACGGACGGCGGACACCGGTCCCAGGGGCCTGCCTGTGGGGCCTGGGGGACAGGACAGGTGGCCCCTACCCACCCTGCATGGGTTGGACACCCACAGAGGAAGTGCCCGAGTTCCTTTCCGGGGTGCCGCCCAGAGGATCCAGCCGCTCAGAGTCGCGGCCGGGCTCCCACAGCCCGCGGGAGGCCTCGTGCCCAGCCTCCGGCCCACACCGGTGTCTTCAGGGCCCCTCGGGACCTCCCTTGATCTCTGCTGCTGACTGGCCACCCCGGCCACACCGGTCTCCTGCCCTTTCCCCAGCAGTCCTTTGGTGTGTCCTCCTCCAAGCACGTGTTTGGCGGCCCCCTCTGCCTGGGTGCTGCCTTCCGTTGTCTGCGGCCCAGCTGGCCTGCGGGCAGCCCCCGGAGGCCCCAGTGCGCGGGCGGAGACTGCGTGCTGTGCCCCAAGCTGGGTACACGACCTCCGCTGTCAGCGCGGCCCCCAAATCGCTCCATCATCCCGACGGCGACCCTTGGACGGAGGCACTCGTGTTTCTCCCATCTTTTCATGAGAAGCCTCAGGCCCAGGGCGGTTAGATAACTCCCCCAAAGTCAGTCAGGGAACGGAGGAGGCAGAACCCCCGTGGTCAGCTGTGGCTCCCCCCCTCCCCCCCCACCCCACTCCTGGCGAGCCCCGCGGGGGTGGGAGGTGTTCTCTGTGGCCTCGGGCGCCTGGCTGGGTGCTCGGTGGGCTGTCTTGCGGCTCTGGGCTGGCGTGTTCCTGGGGCCCTGGACACCCTTTCTGCAGCATGCAGGGGGCCCCTCAGAGCTGTGGCTCCCAGAGGCCTGAGCTCACACCTGCGTGACCCCTTAAAGCTGTGTGCCCCTGGCTGGCCACTGCATCCACTCTGGAGGGGGTCCGGGCAGCTCTTCCCGCTCAGTCAGGGCTTCCCATGGGGCACAGCCCAGCGCGGTGACACTCGGCAAATAGCCGGGGTCCCCACTGAGTTGACTGTCTTCTGGGAGATGCTCCTGAAGCCTGCAGACCGTGTGGGGGGTGGCGGGGGGCATTCTTGAGGCAGTGGGGTCCTCTGGACACCCCTCGCTTCTCCCCTTGCATCCTGACAGCCCCACGTGGCCGAAGCTGGCCTCCTGGCCTCCCTGCAGCCCCCCGAGTCCTGTGGACTTCAGCGTCCTCACAGATCAAGGTGGCCGCCTGGGCAGGTGAGCCCAGACGTCCAGGGCTGGAAGAGTCCCTGCAGGTGCTCGGTCTGTGCTCTCTGCACATTGAGCACCAGCTCCTCCTGTCCCGGGAGGAGGGGGCCGGGAGTCGGGGCCCACATGGAAGGAAGCGGGTGAGGCTCCCGTGTGCAGGAGGAGCCCGGCCTAGGGGGACCCGGGGGCAGCGCGGCTGCTGCGATCTGTCCAGAGGCGCTGCAGGACCCGACTTCCGCCTCGGTCAGGGCTTTGCAGAAGTGAGGGTGCTCGGGGGCTGCCGGCTGGCGCCCTGGCGCCTGTGGGGCGCGGCTGGCTTGCAGGGTGCAGTGGGAAGCACCCCTGGGCCCTAGGCGCTGACGGGAGAGCTGGGGTGGGCTCAGCGGAACCAAAACTGCTGTGTCACTGCTGCGGCAGCTGTTGCCACGGTGACCGGTGAGTTTCCCACGCTTCCTCCTGGCGCAGCGTCAGGATGGCGGGAGGGGGGAGGGGGTGTGTGTGTGGGGGGGGGCTGAGGATGTGTGTGTATGAGGATTTGTGTGTGTGTGTGTGTGTGTGTGAGAATTGTGTGTGGCAGAGGATGTGTGCGTGTGTGATGGCGGGAGGGGCAGAGGATGTGTGTGTGGGGGTGAGGATGGGTGTGTGTGTGTGTGTGTGATGGCGGAGGATGTGTGTGTGTGTGTGTGTGTAGGGGTGCTGTCTCTCTTCGGGTTGCAGGTTCCGTCTGAGACCCCCACCACGCCGTGTGTGTCTGTGTGTGTGTCTGTGTGTTTGGAGGGCTGCTGTCTCCTCCCTCTCCCCTCCCTCCTCTCCAGGTCAGGCTTCGGTGCCCATCCATGGGTTGGGGTCCCCAAAGCGCCCAGCCACACCAGCGTGTCCCAGAGCTCTGGCTGGCTGCTGGGGGCAGCGCCCGGGGGTGGCAGGCAATTCTCACTTAGGTGGACGAGGGGCAGGAGTGTGAGCCGGGGCCTCGAGGGTCCTCCTTCGAGCCTGAGGTTCCGTGGGAGCTGGGGCCCTGGGGGCAGAACGGCCTCCTCCAGCCTGGCCAAGCCGATGGGACAGACATCCTGCCCGGGTCCCTGGGGCTGGGCCTGCCGCGCCACGTGGCTGGGGGTGGGCGAGGCCCCCTCCGAGCCCCCGTTTCTCTCTCCGTGGAGGGGGGCGTGGCAGCGCCTCCCTTGCCCCGCGGACACCCCACGGCACCTGCCCAGGCCGACCCCACTTTCCCTCCGCAGCTCAGCTCGCCCATGAACCCCGTCAGCAGCAGCGAAGACATCAAGCCCCCGCTGGGCCTCAATGGTGTCCTCAAAGTGCCGGCCCACCCCTCAGGGAACATGGCGTCCTTCACCAAGCACATCTGTGCCATCTGTGGGGACCGCTCCTCAGGTGAGCCGCTGAGGACAGGGAGGTCGGGGCCTGGGTTGGGGCCGCAGGACCCCCGGGAGGGTGCAGGAGGCAGGAGCCCGGCCCGCCAGAGGGGCCGCTGCAGCTCCGAGCCGCCCACCGTGGACCTCCCAGCGTTTCCAAGTCCAGGAGATGGTGAGCGGCGGGCGGGTGGCTCCAGTGGAGACGCTGGCAAGGGGGCCGCCGGGCTGTGCCCGGGGCCGAGTGTCCCTCGTACGCCCCACCCCCCCCCCCCGAGCCCAGCAGGCCCGCTGAGCCCTTCGGGGTGCCAGCCCGGACGTAGAGAGGATGCGGGCCCTGGTGTCCGGGTCCTCGCGCCCCGCGTCCCCGGCCGCGCGTGGCGCTTACGGCCGCCCCGCCCGCAGGCAAGCACTACGGGGTGTATAGCTGCGAGGGCTGCAAGGGCTTCTTCAAGCGGACGGTGCGCAAGGACCTGACCTACACTTGCCGCGACAACAAGGACTGCCTGATTGACAAGCGGCAGCGGAACCGCTGCCAGTACTGCCGCTACCAGAAGTGCCTGGCCATGGGCATGAAGCGCGAAGGTAGGCCTGTCGGGCGCGCGGCCCTCCCTGCCCGCAGCTCCTTCGCGTACTCCTGATGACGGGGCGCTCACTCCCTGCAGAGGCCTCCGCTGCTGCTGCTGGCTTAGCAAACACCCCTGGGGGCCCTGGTCTCACTCACTGACTCTTGCCTGAGCACCGGCTTCATGCCAGGCTCTGCGGTTACAGGAGAGGCACCCTTGGTCCTGCCTGCCAGTGGCTCCCAGCCCCGCTGGAGAGAGGCATCCATCAGAACCTCTGCAGTCCTGGTGGGGCCTGCCGACCGCCTGGGCTCTGGGGGGCTGTGGCGGGAGGTGGGAGGTGGGGGCTCCACCTGCAGTGAGACCCAGAGAGTGTACAGGTGGGTCCTGGGGCCTGCTTGCCGCCACTCGGGAGGATGGTCCAGGAGACCTGGGGCTGGGGTGGGCGTCAGGGAGCTCTGGAGACCATCAGGATGACCCAAGCGTGCTGGGCGCTGGGTCGTCCTGGGCTCTGCTTCCTTGTGCAGTCGGGGCGGGGGTGCCTCATGACCCAGGTCCTTACAGTAGAGAGACTTGGGCTGCAGGCCTCTCGGCCTTAGGACCGGGGCCGGGTTTTGTTGACAGCAGGTGTGTGTCGGGTGGTGGGGCAGGGCGCATGGAAGGCTGCACCCTGGGGTCACTGAAACTGTCTGGCTGCCCCGTCGGCTGGGGCCTGAGCCTGGGGCGGGCTCCTCACAGCCCCTTGCCATCTGTGGGCCTCGGCTTCCCTGGCCCGGGTTTGGGGCCTCCTGGCTGGGAGGTGCTGTCTGGGGTCAGGGTCTGTGTGTCCCTCCTGCACCCGTCTGCTCCACGGTCCCCACAGGCTGGTGTGTGTGCACCTTCCTCCCCGCCATCCTGTGGGGCAGCCGGGCGGCTGTCTCATCACCCCCATCCTGTGGGGCAGCCGGGCGGCTGTCTCATCACCCCCCATCCTGTGGGGGAGCCAGGCAGCTGTCTCGTCGCTGGGGACCACCCCCTTGTGGGGGCTGCAGTCTTCATCTCTTTCCTTTATCTCCTGGAGCCCAGTCGTCCTTGCTGACAGCCTGAGTCCCCAGCTGGGCCAGTGGTCCTATGGGATCTGTGCCTTGAGGCTGAGAAGTAGTGATGGAACGGGGGTCTCGGCACTGGCGAGGGGCAGTATGCCCGTGGACCCCGCAGAGGGGCGCCTCCTGGGCTCCAGCGTGAGCTGGGGGGCGGCCTGACCGTGGTCTGCCTGCCCAGCCTTCCTGATTGGGCGCGTGTTCCATAGAGACATTGGCCCACCCTACTGTGTGCGGGTGGAGAAGCTGAGGCCCAGAGGGTCCGGGGCTCGGCCACGGTCACATGTTGGGCTGGAACCGGGCCCTGGCTTCCAGCACTGACCTTGTTCCTCAAGGCCAGCAAGAGGGCAGAGGAAGCGTGTGCCTGGTGTGGGGAGGCCTGTGCCCAGCCCTAGCTCCTCTGGCTGCCCCATGTAGTCAGGGTGGGCTTCCCGGAGGTGGTGAGCGCAGTGTTTTTCCTGAAGGATGGACACTTGGGCAGGGGGCAAGCACGTGGTGGGCAGTAGATCAGTCTGCACCTAGGCGTGGGTCAGCGAGCTGTGGCCGTCCGTACACTGACAGTGACCGTCACACAGCCAGGCGGGGCCCCCGGGAGTGGCCGGTGCTGCCTTTGGGGAAGCCGGGGCCTGTGGGAGCCCAGAGGAGACCCCAGCCCTGCTGTGGGCATTGGGCAGCGCTTGGTGGACCGGTGTCCAGCTGACCCCTGGGGAGTGGAGGGGTGTTCGGCAGAGCACGCATCTGGATGGCGGGGCGGCACATGCAGAGGCGGGACCCCCAGCGGACGTGGCTCCCTGCAGGCCCCAGAGACTGACCGAGCACAGGTCCCCAGGGCCGTGCAGTCCAGTAAGCACTGGCCCTCTCCTAGGGTCCTCTCAAGCTTTCCACTTGAGAGCCTGGGGGACACCCCAGTGGTCTGTGCCCCCCAGGTCTGGGGAGAGTGGAGACAGCGTCTCCCGTCCCGGTGGAGCCGCAGTCTCGGGTCTGGGGGATCAGTGCGTTTGAACCCCTGCCTTTGCCCACTGGTAGATCTTAGGGGCACCTGCTGTGCCCGGAGCCTCTCTGGGGACCCTGCCTGGTCACACACACTCACCCACCCATTGTGCCGTGACTGTCGGCGCACCCCCCAGGGAGGGAGGGGGCCTCGGGGGTCATGTTCAGGGCCGTACGCCCGCGCTCTCATCAGATGCATGAATCTGGAGCTTTGGGCGCCGTCCTGAGGCACTGCGGCCCTTGAGGCCTGATTTCTGGGCCGTTAGATAAATACCTGATTCCATCAGGACCCACCTCCCCTCGCCTCTTGCTGGATTTATAAGTCACGAGCAGGCAGTAAAACCACTGCCCTCCCGTGCTCCCAACACGACGTTAAGCTCCTCGCTGGCCCGAGAGCCGCGGGGCGGCGGGAGGCGGCTCTGTCCGCCCGTGGGTGCGGCACTGTTTGGCCCCCTGCTGCTGTGGGGGAGCGCCCACCGCCTTACCCTCTGCAGTGGCCGCGGTGCCCGCCCTGCGGAGGGCTCTGTGGGCCAGTCTCCTTCCTCTCTGCCCCCGCCCCGGGGCGTGAGCCCTGCCGGGAGGGCTCCCCAGCAGGGGCAGCGCTTTGGCGGCACAACTCGGGGCAGTGCAGTGGCGATGGGGGCCCAGCGTGAGACCCCAGGCCTGTGCAGGAACATGTAGGCTGTAGGCCCCCAGGGCCAGCCCGAGCCCTCCTCGGTGCGGCCCCGTGGCGGGCAGCCATGCCGGCTGGCCCTGCCCAACACAACCCACGTGAGAGGCTTCTGGTCCCTTCTGGTGCAGCGGGGATGCAGGCTCAGGGCTGGCATCTGGACTGGCTGACTGCAGGGAGGGCTGGCTAGCTAGGGACACAGCAGGTGATGGCTTCGTGTGGGGTGACGGCGCTCACGCGGCCCATGGGGCTGGGGGCCCAGATGGGAAGTGCCCGCAGGCCAGGCCTCCCCGGCTGGGTCCAGGCCTGTCCGCTGAGCATGCGGCTGCACTCGGGGCCTGTCGGTGCTCCCGTCTGATGAGGGCGGCAGGTGGGTGCGCAGGGCTTCCCGGTCTGAGGGGGAGACCTGGCCCCCATCTGGGGTGACAGCTCCAAGCCAAAGGGGTCACCCCACTGTCCCCTCTCTGCTTCGCTTCCTTCCTCAGGAAGGCCGCTCCCCGCTTCCTTCCTGTGTCCATCTGCTGGCTCTGAGTGCCGGCTGTGGAGATGGAGCCTGGTGTGTGTGTGTGTGCGCGCACACGTGCGTGTGCAGGCGGGTGTGGCACCACGTGCTACTGCGGAGAGAGCCCCAGCCGGGTCCCCACCTCCTTGTCCACGGGGGGTGCGTGGCCTTGCCTCTCCCAGCCTCGGTTTCCTTACCTGTGCATGGGGGTGTCGGCAAGCTCCCCCAAAGTCCTATTGAGAGGAACGTGGCAGGGGGCATGGTGGGCGGCGGGGCAGGAGACTGGTGGCCACAGAATGGGTATGTGTGTATGCGCGTCTGTGTGTGTGCCTGTGTACACTTATGGGTGTGTGTGAGTGTGCACGTGTGTCTGTGTGTGTGCTGGTATGCACGTGTGGGTGCATGTATGGGTGCACATGTGTGTGCATCAGTGTGTGTGCCTGTGTGCATCTGTGTGTGTGCGCATGTGTGGGGTTGTGTGTGTGTGCACGCCTGTGTGTACATGCCTGTGCATCTGTGTGAGCCTGTGTGTGTGTGCCTGTGTGCCTGGGTGCATGTGTGAGTGTGTGTATCTGTGTGTGTGTGTGCATGTGTGGGGTTGTGTGTGTGTGCACGCCTGTGTGTACATGTCTGTGCATCTGTGTGTGAGCCTGTCTATGTGTGCGTGTGCATGTGTGTCCGTGTGAGCGCTGGTTTACATGTGTGGGTGCCTGGGTGTGAGGCTATGTGCATGTGTGACTGTGTGCACGTGACTGTTCTCGTGTGCAGGCTGCGGAGAAGGAGGGCCGGGTCCTCTGATAACCCTGTGGCCTCCGGCAGGGACTCCCCCTCCGCCCTTGAGAAGGGGCAGCCGGGCCAGAGCCCCTGGTGAAATCCCATCCTGCCTGCCCCTTGGGCCCTGCAGGGGACAGGGGAAATGCCCAAAGCAAAGGAGGCAGCAGGCGTGGGGTTCCCCACCTGGACGCCCCCTCCCACCTCTCAGCTCCCTGCCCGACTCCCCAGGGGAGAGGGCTCCCATGCCGGAGTCTGCTGACTACGGGGACCCTGGCTGTGTTGGGGTGTTTAGCACCCCTCCAGGTGCTGGCTCAGCTGCTGGGGAGGATTGGCCCCAGGGGTTTTCTTGGGAATCCTGGCGGGGGGCCCACCAGCTCTGCTCTCCTGGAGCATCCCCGTGCAGCCCCCCGCCCCAGCCCTGGGCTGGGAGGAGAACAAGGCCCTGTCTCGGCCGCCCCTCCTGCCTGAGGCCTCCCGCCGGCTGGACATCAGTCACACACGACCACGTGTAAACGATGGCTCACCTGGCCCAGCAAGAATCCCAGACCCCGCGTCCCGCCGCCGTCTATAAATAAAACCATAATATTTACATTGAGGGTACTCACAGAGCTTTCCTAGTTAGTTCTGCCTGCCCGCCCCCAAGCCAGGGCCCCCTGGTCAGCACCCCTGGGCCCAGGGCTGTCTCAAGTGCAGGCACCCCCATAACTGGACCACGGCATGGGGGGCCTGGGGGCAGGAGTCGCGAGCAGACGGAGGACAATGCCCGCGGATCCCCGGGAGGCGGGTGCCGTTAGTCTCACTTGGGGGGTGGTGCTGGGGCCCGGAGAAGCTTGGGGCTCACCCGGGGCAGAGCAGATCTGACTCCTGAGCCGCCTGCTCTCCTGAGAGCTCAGCCGTGAGGGGTGCTCTGGGCCTCAGTTTCCCCACTCGGTAAAACGTGCCTCTCAGCTGCCTCTCAGCTCTGTCCAGAGCACAGACCCCGGGGACCCCACCCTCAGGGTCTCGGGGACACTGCCCGCCAGCGTTCTAAGTTCCCGTCACTCGGCTGTGGTCCAGATGGGCCCGTGTGCCTGCCTCGCGCTGGGTCCACCCTTCTGGCCTGTGACCCAGTCCCCTGCACAGATGGTGACCTGAGGAGGTGCCCGGCCTAGCCCAGCATACTCTGTGGTAGGGGGTGGGGGCCAGCCGGCCAGCTTGAGCTTTCCACCCAGCCCCACCAGCTGTCAGACTTTGCAGAAGCGCCAGGCTTGCGAAAGCTCTGGCCTGAGGCCTGCCTTGCTCTGTGGCCCAGCTGGTCCGGTTCGCAGTGTCGGCCGACCCCTGTCCGGAGTCCTGCTGCGCCAACGGAAAGTCCCTCGCTTGAGTCAGCATTTGGGCTCGGAGAATGAAGCCCCTGGCAGGGGGCAGCTGTGAACAGCCGTTTGTGGAGGCAGGAAGGAGGGCAGGCTGGCCCTCAGGACGCCCCACGGCCCGGAGAAGGGCATCGATGGGTCCCAGTGTCTCTGAATGGTCATCGGTGGGGCCGACTTGGTGGAGAGGGTTCAACATGGGCTGTTACAGGGCTGTGTGGGGCCCGGGGACCCCAGGGAGCCCCAGAGGGGAGCCCTCACGCCCCCAGGCTCGGAGAACGGAGGCTCCCCTGGCCCCTGGGGGTGAGGGGCTGCGAGCAGGCCCTTTTGCTCAGTACGGCAGCTGTGTGCACACCGCAGCCCTCCATGAGTGGCCTCGCACAGCCCCTGCTCTGTGCTGGGGTCCCCAGGGGCCCCGCGGAGCCCTGTCTGAGGTGGGCGCTGAGGGCACCTGGGGCGTTGAGGGGATGCCTGGACCCGCTCTGGCTCAGCAGGGCAGGGCCGCGGGAGGGTGGGCTCGGGGTTTGGGGGGCTGGGGCGCACTGCCCAGTCCTGGTACTGCTGCTGTAGCTCGGGTGTCCGGGTGTCTGCGGGGCTCCACCGACACGCCTGGGGCCCCGCTGGGAGGGCGCTGGGCTGTGCGGCAAGCCCTCCGACCTTGAACTAGGCTTCCCCCTGCTGCGGACCCCCCGCCGCTCTGGTCCGGGGCCCTTGCTGTCCCCAGCAGATGGGTGGGGGGTGGGGTCAGCCCAGGACGCTGCAGGAGCCCCCCGGGGCTTTGCGGGGCTCAGGCTCAGCACCCCCTGGGCCTGCAGGGCGACCTCAGGGAAGCCTGAGCCCCTCTGGGGAGAGGGCGGCCTGAGCTGCACGGGCTCTGAGATCGAGGGTCTGTGAATGCCCCGCACGGGGTGCCCGGTCCCCTTGTCCTTTCCCCGCCTGGGTGTCCTTGGGGCGTGTTGAAATAGGCCCTTCTCTCCTGGGCTCCCAGAGACGAAGCTGCCCCCGTCTGCCCAGTCTTCCAGCCTCATGCTGGACACCCCCTCCGCCCACCCCGTGCCCCATCGCCCAGCCCTGACGTCCCCGCTCACGCCCAGGTCTGGGTCCCACCCCAGCCCCGCTCCTCCCGCAGCGGGCGTGGATCTTCAGAGGTCTGCGTCCCACCCTCGCCCTCTCCTGGGACCCTTGCGCCCTGTCCGGGAGCCTGGCCCGCTCTGATCTCTCGCTGATGCGAGAGGCCCTTGCAGCAGCGTCTCTGCTCTGGCCCTCGGCCTTGGTGCACGCCCCCTTCCCTGCCTGGGTGGCCATCCCTATCTTTCTGTTCCTTCAACTTCATTGCTGCTTCTTCCGGGAAGCCTTCCTGGCTTTGCTTGCATCCATAGCCCATCAAAGCCCTTCTCACTCCACCTCGGGATCCCTGCTGAACCGTCGGCTTCCTGAGAGCGGGGCCCCGTCTGCCCCGGCCCTGGGCAGTCCTGGTGTGAACCGTGGTTGAATGAGTCACCGAAAGGCGGCGTGGCCTGTTCTCAGCGCGCACAGCTCCCCGGGAGCGGGAGGCTGAGCTCGGGGCAGAGACGGGGCTGCGGTCTGGCTGGTGGGTGGGCGCACTGCTCGGGCCCCGGGGGTGGAGGCGGCCCCGGGAGCTGCGGGCTGACCAGTGGCCGCCCCCCCCCAGCCGTGCAGGAGGAGAGGCAGCGCGGCAAGGACCGGGGCGAGGGCGAGGCGGAGCCGACCAGCAGCGCCAACGAGGACATGCCCGTGGAGAAGGTCCTGGAGGCCGAGCTGGCCGTCGAGCCCAAGACCGAGACCTACGTGGAGGCCAGCGTGGGGCTGAGCCCCGGCTCGGTGAGCGCCCCGCCCACGCCTGTGTGCTCTGCGCTGGGGGCGGGGCCCTGGGAGTGTGCCCGGGACAGGGGGGCACCCCATCATCCCATCACCGCCCCCCGCCTGGGAGCACGCCTGGGAGGGGGACCCCCATCATCACCCCCCACCTGGGAGGGGGATCCCATCATCACACCCCTCCTGGGAGTGCTCCTGGAGGGGTCCCCGTCACCACCCCCCTGCCTGGGAGCACACCTGGAGGGGGACCCTGTCACCCCCCGCCCCACATCCATGAGGCTCTGCTGCCCATCAGGTGGGTGAGTTTTCGGCTGTTGGGCTCAAAGCCCAAGACTTGACGGCTCCCTTCCAGCTTCCTGTTACCTCTGGCCCATCCTGCATCCAGGCCTGTGGGCAGCCCTGGGTCTCAGTGTGGTCTGTGTCTCCCTTGTGGGTTCAGGGTGGCCCTAAGGTCCCCCTGGCCTCCCCGCTCCATTCTGTCCCTGGCTCACGATGGCCTGGACGCCCTGCCCCCCCGCCCCCGCTCCCCGCAGCCCCAGGGCCCTGCTCCTGTGGCTTCCTCTGTTCCTCTTCCGGCTTCAGCCTTGGAAAGTGTCCCTTCCTCGGGGAGCCCTTTCCCTCTCGACCCCCTTGTGCCCCCATCATGGGGGCTCGGCGCCCGTGATGCTGTGGGGGTCACGGCGCGGCGAGTGGTGGTCCGTTCTCCATCCTCGCCATCACACTGTCCCCCGTGCCTGGCTGCGGTCGGGGACGGGACCCTGCCGTGCCCGTCGGTGATCGCTCATGGCCCCTGCCCAGTCTCAGAGCATGGGGGTCCCGTCTTGTCTGCCGTCTCAGGACAGCCCGTTTCCTTGTCTTCCTGTGATGGGGCGCCCCAGGCTGCAGCCCCTCTCAGACCCCCCATCTGGCTGCCCCACCAGGGGAGGCAGGCCCCCTCCTTCTGGGGGTGTTGCCTCTTGTGTGCAGTGACCCCCCCCCCCCCTCGGTTTGACCCTCGACAGTCCTTCTGGTCTGTGGTCTGACGCCACCCAGCGGCCCCTCTCCAGTCCCAGTGGGGAGCCAGGGCTGCTGCGGGGACCTCATGACTGAGCAGACGCTGAAGGAAAAGTCAGGGATCGACAGCAGTCTGCCAGGTTTTACTCTTGTCCAGCGAGGACACCGTCTCGAGGAAACAAGGCCCCCCCTGCGCGCTCCGGGAATGTAGAATGGGCGGGAGGCTTAGGGGACAGGCCGGTGGGCTGGCCGGTGGGGGCTCTGCCCTCCTGTGGACGCTACAGGCGGATTGGCCTGGGTCCCCGTCTGGGGCTGGCTCGTTGGGCCCCTTCCCTCACACCAGGGACACCTGTCTGCCCTGGGGGAGCCTCAGGTCCCAGCCTGGGGGCCCCGCAGTCCCCTCCTGGGACAGGGCAGGCCCCGCCCTCTCCGGCACGGGGCCAGAGCTCCTGAAACTGCTGTTGAGCGAGGCCTGTTTTGTCTTTTTGTGGGAATCGGGCTCAGAGAGGTTAAGTCCTGCGGGGGCCATCCCGCAGGATGGAGCCGGGTGGAGTTCGAGCTCCTCCCCCAGGGGAACCCTCCCTCCAAACCTAGTCCCGCACCTCCGGTGCAGGTGACCTTTGCCCCCAGCTCAGGTATGACCTGGCACCTGCCTCCAAGGCCCTGCCTACTCCACTGGGCCTGCTCTGGGCCCCTCGGGGGCTCAGGGGGGGCTCCTGCTAATGACCAGAGAAGGCCCGACCTCTGGGGCTTCAGCCCGGGACTGGTCGGTCTTCCCCACGCCTTCTGCCCCCCTCAGTGCAGCAGGACCCCGCCATCAAGCTTGGGCTCCCACCGGTGGGCTGGAAGGGCACGGAACAGGGTCCCAGAGGAGTGGAGCCTGGCCCCGGGCTCTGGCTCGCTAGCTGCTGGGTGTGTCGCTCGGGTGAGCCGGGTCCCCGGCGCAGGCCAGGTCTGCCCGTGGCTGCTCTGGTGGACGGGATGGGTGTGCGACGCCCGGAGGGTGTGCTGGGCTTGGGCATGTGGTGTCTCACCATGAGTGCCAGGCTTCTGGTTGGTGCTCCCGGGCGGAGGCGGGGATGCTGTGTGGGCCGGCCCCCTGGGGCGAGGGGCTTCGGTGTGAAGGTGACTTTCGGGGGGCGTCTGGGTGCTGGTGCCTTCCACCCCTTTCCCTGACTGGCCGTGCGCCCTGGAAGTCGCTTCTCCTGTGGCCCCAGGTCCTCCTCCTGCACGCCGGTCCCCGTCCACTCTGCCGGCCTTGGTGCCCGTCTGTCACAGGCCTCCCACGAGAGCCCTCAGCAGGCCCTCCACGGCCAGATTGTTTATAGACTGTGCGCCGCGGGAGGGCGCACGGTTTCTCTCAGGGAAGCTCCTCCAGGCCTCCCCACCCCGTTGGGGAATGCCTGGCCCACTTGGTTCCTGGAATGAGGCGCTTCCGCATCCGCTGCTTGGTCCCACCTCCCCAGGGCCCAGCGGGTTCTCCGTCCAAGCCCCGAGGGCCGGAGTCTGGAGCCGCTGAGGCTGCCCGGGGTCCCCCGTTTGTGAGGATGACCTGGCGTCCCCTTCTGGCTAGGGGCTTCCTAGGTAGCTTGGTGGTAATGAATCCACTTGCAATGCAGAAAACATGGGTTCGATCCCTGGGTCTGAAAGATGCCCTGGAGGAGGAGATGGCAACCCACTCCAGTATTCCTGCCTGGAGAATCCCGTGGACAGAGGAGCCTGGCGGGCTACAGCCCGTGGTGTCTCGAGTCAGACACGACTGAGCACACACGCACACTGTGTCTGACTGGAACCTTCCGGAAGGGCCTCTGATGCACCGTTGTCTGTGTGCTACCTCCAAGTCTGGGAGGAAGCGGCAACACCAGAGGGGCCGGCTCTGCCCACCCCCTCCCCAAGCCTGGTCTGCAACACGAGGTCACCCGGCACCGGCCCAAGGGCCGCGGTGGGGACAGAGTGGGTCGTAACACGGTGATCTTTCTGTGGCTGCTGGACAAGTGACTGCAAACCGGGTGCCTAAAACAACACAGGTTTTACTGCCTTACTTCTCGAGGCCCGAAGTCTGAGATCTGTGTCCCTGGCCAAGTCAGGGCAGGGCTGGCCTCTGGGGGGCCGCACGCCGGCCTCTCCAGCTCTGGAGGGGCCTGCGGGCCCCGGCTCCTGCGCTTGTTCCACGTTGGGGCGGCGGCTCTTCCCTCCTTGACTTTGGCCTCAGTCCCCTCACGTCCTCCCTGCCCTCTGACCGTCCCCCCACCTCCAGCAGGGGCTCTGTGACGCCCCGGGCCCACCCACACCTTTCAGGGTAACCTCCCCTCAGAACCCTTCACTCGGCTGTGTCCGCTGAGTCCTTGTGCTGGGGTTCGGGGGCTGAGGCCGTCGGGGTCATGGGGTCGTTGGTCAGCTCCCTCCCCCCGGTTGGGCGTGTAGGGGCCGGCCTGGTGCTCACCACGGTGCCCCTCCGCAGCCCAACGACCCTGTCACCAACATCTGCCAAGCGGCTGACAAGCAGCTCTTCACGCTGGTGGAGTGGGCCAAGCGGATCCCGCACTTTTCCGAGCTGCCCTTGGACGACCAGGTCATCCTGCTGCGGGCAGGTGAGCCGCGGGCCTTGTGAGGGGAGGGGCGGGGCCTAGTGGGGCTGGTGGGCGGGGAGAGGGGCGGAGTCTGGTGGGCGAAGGGGCGGGGCCCTGCTCCTGCTCAGTGGGCGGTCCTGGGGGATGGGTGGGGGGGCGCCGCTGGGAAGGGCCGGGGGGGCTGATGGGAAGAAGGCCTGGGGACACAGGGCCGGGGAAGGGGCCTCAGAGGAGGGCAGGCTTGCTGGGGGCTTGGTTCTGCCCCTTGACGAGGTCTCATCCTCAGCCCCCTGGGCCCTGGTGTTTGGCCAGTGGGTGTCCGTCCACGATGGGCCCAGGGGTCGGGAGGACAGTCCCTGGAAGAGCTTTCACTCTGACTGGGGCACAGACCCCAACCCCAGAGCCCACAGGAAAAGATGCCGACCTGCGGGGTTGGGAGGGGCCCTGGGTCCTGAGCTGAGTGGGCAGCCTCTATGTCTCCCGGGCTCTCTGTCTTCCTCTGTGTAAAGTGGGGCCAATACTAGCTTTGTGGGGTCGAGTCATGATTGAACAGCATCACCCTTGTGACACGGTCACAGCCACCAGCCCGGAACCTTTGGGGCACCGGTGACGGTCACCGACACCACTGCCGAGTGTTCCGTGGGCTCCGGGCTGGGGTCTGAGATGGTGGCTGGTGACGCTCCGAAGACGGCTTGTGCATCCGGTTTGCAGGAGCGCGTGCGCACGGGGTTTTTCTGCCTTCCCCCAGCTCTGTGCCCACGCTGCGTGTGCCAGGGCCTCTCGGAGAGAGGGCATTGGTTCCCCTTTGGCTCCAGCACTCCTGGGCTCCATCATTTACTGTTTTGTGGCACCCCCAAAACGTCAGCTCTGGGAGTCTGCGGTGGGGGCTCCCTTGGGCTCCGTGGCACCGGCGTCCGGCACGTACAGAGATGGACTTCCCGGGCACCTGAGTGTGGAGGGCCCGGCGTAAGCGGCTGCAGGAGCTGCTCTGTGCGGGACTCCTCGCGTGTGCCGGGGGCACGCGAGAGCGTCAGTGCCCGGGAGCCGCCCTCCTGTGGAAGGGTCATGGGCTCGGGGTTCCTCGCAGGCCCTGCCTCGAGAGGAGCTGCCTACCGGGGCCGGTGGGGAGCCGGGGCGGGGCGGGGCGGGGCCCCGGAGCCCTGCGGCTGGGATGAGTCTGCGCTTGCTCAGCCGGGGGGGGCGGGGCCTAGGGGCCAGGGGGCGGGGCCTAGGGGCGAGGGGGGCGGGGCGGGCGGTCCGGGGCCGGGAGACCACGGTGACCCTGTGCCCCCCCCCCCGCCGCGTAGGCTGGAACGAACTGCTCATCGCCTCCTTCTCGCACCGCTCCATCGCTGTGAAGGACGGCATCCTCCTGGCCACCGGGCTGCACGTGCACCGCAACAGCGCCCACAGCGCGGGCGTGGGCGCCATCTTCGACAGGTGGGGGCCCCGCCGCGGCTGCGCAGCCTCTGTGCCGCACACGGAGGTTGCCCTTTTGGCGACAGCAGAAGAGCCGCAGGACAAAGTCCTGGGTGGCTCATAGGGTAAAGCGTCTTCCCTCAGTGCGGGAGACCTGGGTTCGATCCCTGGGTCCGGAAGATTCGCTGGAGAAGGACCGGGCAACCCGCTCCAGTATTCTTGCCTGGAGAATCCCATGGATGGAGAATCCCATGGATGGAGAAGCCTGGTGGGCTACAGCCCGTGGGGCCGCAAAGAGTCGGACACGACTGAGTGACTTCCCTAAGATTGAAATCCCCGCGGCCGCCTGTGTACCCTAGCTCCCAGTCCTTCCCTCCACGTCCGCGTGTGGGAAGGAAAGCAGCACGTCTGTAAAGCAGAGTAGACAGTGATGCTATCCCGGGGGAGCGGGCGAGGACTCCTCCGATGCGTCGCGGCATGTGAGCCTGCGCGCAGCCGTGTCCCAGCGCTGCTCTGGGCTCGTCCCCGGCGGGGACTCCCGCTCTCTGCTCCCGCCCCTCTCAGCACCCACCCAGGCGGTTGGTGCTGGGCGGTGGTCAGTGACCCCGTTCTCAGGCTTCGAAATCACGACTTGTCTGTCTCCACTGGCGGGGTCACTTCCCATCCCTGGCTGGCTTTGCCTGTGAGCCCAGAGTACCTGGGCCTTCTGGGGACCTGGGTGTCAGCTCAGCCAGCCGGAGCTGGAGGGGCTGGGGAGGGGTGTGGGGGTCCCTCGGCAGGGGCGCTGCGGCGCAGGGTGAGTGGACCCGTGGGGAGGGGAGGCGATGGGCGGGGTCCCAGGTGAGCCCCTCAGTGAAGTGCGAGTCGCTCAGTCATGTCCAACTTTTTGCGACTCCATGGACTTCTCCATGTCCATGGAGTTTTCCAGGCCAGAATACTGGAGTGCGTAGCCTTTCCCTTCTCCAGGGATCTTCCCAGCCCCGGGATTGAGCCCAGGTCGCCCGCATTGCAGGGGGATTCTTTCCCAGCTGAGCCACCAGGAAAGCCCGAGGCCCTGAGTACAAGAGCATTAACGGGGCAGGCAGCAGACCCCTACTGTAGCCTCCTGCGGGTAAACGCAGGGGCGCGCTGGCACATGGGCCAGCTCAGGAAGAACAGGGGAGCGACTCCTGACCGCCCCCCCACCCGCGTGCACTAGGCACCCTGGGCAGGCACCGATTTAGACAGTGTAGGGCGTGTCTTTGCCACAGGACATTTCAGAGCCTTCAGCAAGCTTGAGGAGGGGCTGTGGGGTGCTGGGTTTATTGCTTACGTGCTTAGTTGCTCAGCCGTGTCCGACTCTTTGTGACCCCGTGGACTGTAGCCCGCCAGGCTTCCCTGTCTTTGGGATTCTCCAGGCAAGAATACTGGAGTGGGGTGTCATTCCTTTCTCCAGAGGATCACATTGCTCATAGCCGGCTTCTTTGGCAAGCCCGTCTGTCTGAGGGCACATTTAGAAATGCCTCCCCGGCCATGTGCCCAGCTGACAGCTCCGGGGGCCCAGGTGCTTGGGAGACGCCTTCCCGTGGCCGTAGGGAGTGGCAGGGATACGCATTCAGGCCTTGGCCTGGTCTGCAGCTGGGCGGGGACGTGTATTGGTGGACTTCGCCCCTGACATCCAGGACCCTGGCTCACCCCGCTGTCCCGTGGTCCCCCTCTAGTCTCCTGGTTCCTGGAATAAAATCCCACCATGCTGAGCCCCTGGAGCTGGAGGAGAGGAGCCGCCCCTCCCCTCTCAGGGCCGCAGGGACCGGCTGGCCGCAGGGACTGTCCTACCCTGTCTGAATCACCTTACCCTTCTCAGTTGCCTTCCAGGCCTGCGCTGAGTCCTTCGGGGGTGTTCCTGGGGGGCCCCGGGAGGGGCACGGTCTGGTTTGGACGTTGATGTTTGCCTCTTCCCGCGCCCCTCCACAGGGTGCTGACGGAGCTGGTGTCCAAGATGCGGGACATGCAGATGGACAAGACGGAGCTGGGCTGCCTGCGCGCCATCGTCCTCTTCAACCCCGGTACTGCCTGCCGTCCAGGCCCGGCATCTGCCCCCCGAGGGGCCCAGGCAGCAGGGCGCCCACCGCAGCCGCACAGTCCACTGATAGGGCGGTGTGAGCCCCCTGCCTCTCCTCTGAGCCTGCCTGTCTCGCTTTTGATGGGCTCTGCTCCCAGAGTCCTGGAGCCCGGCTGGCCTTGGGGCGCAGGGGGCACGGGGGCAGGGGTGGGCTCTGAGGACTTCTCAGCGAAGTGCAGGGCGCTGACCCAGCGGTGAGAGGGCGGGGCAGCTGCAGCACTCGTGGGCCCTGAGTCCTTACCCTCCGTCGGCTCCAGCGCTGAAGGTCAGGCTGGGGTGAAGCTGGGGTCCCCTAGTGGGGACAGCTGTCTCCAGGGGCATCTGCCTCCAGGTCTGTGCGTGAGACCACAGCCTTGCCAGCACAGGCCTTCCCAGTGGGATCCCTGCTGAAGTCGAGCGTAGCTTGGCTGCTGGCACTGCTTCACCTGCTGGGGTCCAGACTTGGGGTTGCTGGGGGTGGAAGGGAGGTGGCCAGAGTTGGCACAAGCCCCGGTGTGGGGGGGCCGGGGGCCCAGCTGCGGAGGGGTCTGCACTTCCCGAGGTGCCCAGGACCCCAGGCCACAGCGGCATTCACGCTGGGCACGGTGCCCCTGCTGGGATGTCGGACAGCCGGGGCAGGGCCGGTGTGGGGCCCCTGGCCTGGGGCTCAGAGGCCACCCAAGAGCAGGCCTGTCTCCAGGGCTACACTGGCTTCAGATGGGCAGCAGGGGGGCTCTAGCCTCTGCCTCCTAAGCCATCAGGTGGACCATGCCTGCCAGGGCGGTGAGCCCGAATCCCAGTGCCCAGAGGGGGCTGCTGTTGGGGGTCAGTGGAGAGAGGCTTGTCGGGTGTCGGCTTGCGGGGTAACCTCGGAGATGAAGGGGCAGAGAGGGGATTAGCTTTGCCTGACCAAGGAGCTCTCAGTGCCTCAGGAAGGCCTGTGACCACTGCCCAGATGACCCAGGGTGGCCCATGCGCCTCGGTCCTCACCCCCAGGCCCTGGGGTTTTGGTGGCCCTGGTCCCAGGCATCTCTGTCCACGGGCAGAGCCCCTTCCAGACCAGGCTCCTGCTGCTAGGGTCCCAGGTCTCAGGGTGGCTCCAGCCCCCACAGCGTGGGTTTGGCTGTTTCAGACAGAGGAGGTTTGGAGCCTGCATTCGGCTCAGAGGGGCTGAGACCCAATGCACCGAGGCCTCTGGAGGTTACGCCGTAGCTGTGGTAACCAGGGGGGTGGGAGCAGGGCCGCCCCACATTCCTGATGGGTAGTGGCGTGGCGGGAGGTCAGGGGACTGGCCCAAGGTCGAGTGGCCAGCACGCAGCAGGCAGGGCAGCCTCATCTGGGTGGGGGCTCTGGTTCCCCGCTCCCTGGGGCCGGGCTCTGACCTGTGGCCCCTCCCCCTCGCAGACTCCAAGGGGCTCTCAAACCCAGCCGAGGTGGAGGCGCTTCGCGAGAAGGTCTACGCATCCCTGGAGGCGTACTGCAAACACAAGTACCCCGAGCAGCCAGGAAGGTGAGACCGGCCGCAGCCTCCGCCCAGACGGACCTCGGACCTCGGGGTCTGGGGCAGCCCCACCCCTGCCCCTAGCCCTTCAGACTCGCCTGTGGGTTAGAAGGCAGCTGCCTTCCTCCACCCCGGGCAGCCAGGGACCCAGGTGCTCTTCGGCCCCCAGCGGACGCGCGCTCACGGTTCCCTGCAGCCCCACCAGACAGACGGGCCCTGTGCTGGCGCACAGTAGGCACGCGTGGCTCTAGAGTGCGTAAACCAAGGCGGTGCTTTCCTCCGCCGGCTCGAGGCAGGGCCCTGGTATGCTCGCCCCGGCAGGGACAGACGCCAGCACGCAGTAGGTGCTTTACAAACATGTGGAGCAGATGGCCGTGGGCTGAGCACAGAGCCTGCCTGTCTCTCTCGCGGGCCCAGGAGGGCTGGACTTGTCTTCTTGCCGGGTCCACCGAGCCGGGCGCGCAGTGCGTTTCTGGGAGGAGGTGGCTGCAGACCGGTTGTCCAGGTTCCTGCCTCCTCTCTTCCTGGACCGACCTCTGTCTGCTGGGAGGGGGTGGGGGTGTGGGGCCCCAGGGCCCCAGGCCTGGTTCTGCCTTTGCCCACCGCGCCAGCCAGCACACACACAGTTAAGTGTCCGACCAGCCTCATCTGGTTTAAAGTGAAACTTCCCGGAGGAGGGGTGGCAGGCCCGCCTGTTTTTCCTGGCTCCCCGCCCCGGCCCATCTCGCCAGCTCAGCAGAAAACAGCGCGTTCTCTGGCCCCGCTCCAGCCTCCGAGCTGCGTTTTTGCCTTTAAAACGTGGGTTGTGTTGCAGCCAAGCCCGGGGCTTTCCCCCTGAAATAAGACATTGTTAATAATTAGCGAGGTCCCAGGGTCCCTGGAGGGTCGTGTGGAGAAGGCCTGGAAGCACTCGGGGAGGGGACTGGGGTACGGGGCGGGGAGATGTGGACATCCGGGCGGGGGCACTGGGCCCGGCCCCAACACGGCAGCTGTCCTTGGCACAGTGCGCAGGAGCCTGGCGTCCCTGCTCCAGGCGCCCCCCCCCCCCAGCCTCCCCTGCCCCTCCGCCGTGGTGTCCTCCCCAGAACCTCTGCAGTAGGGCAGGCACGGCCCGAGGAGCCTCCTCCCCCTCCCGCACCTTCCCTGTCCGATGTCGGGCTGCCCTGCTGCAGCTCTTTCTGGGCAAGGAGGGTGCTGGCGTGAGCCCCCTGGAGGCTTGTTGGAGCTCAGACCTGCTTCTCCAGCTCAGGAGCGGCCTCACCCCGAGAGGGGGGGTGCCCTGCGGCCAGGGGCTTTGCTGGTGCTCAGATCTGCCATCAGAGCCCTTCTTCCCGCGTAAAGTCCTGCTGCGACTCCTGCTGCCCTTGGAGAAAGCCTGCCTCACCTTTTAACTCCTCCACGAAGCCCTGTTCAACCCACCCCAGCCCGGCCACCGGCCCTTCATCCTGAATCTCTGCCCTGGGGCTGTCCTCTTGGGGTCTGCTGCGCCTGGGCCCTGGCCCCTTCTGCGTCCATCCTCTGCCCAAGAAACCCCTCCCCGTTCAAGGCCCCTGGCTCAGGCAGGTCCCCTGCGGTGCCAGCCTTGGGGGCCGGGGCGGTGAGACCCGGTCCCTTCCCCGGGCAGCCGCGGGACGGTGGGAGAGTGGCGTTGCTCACGCGGCTGCATCCGCAGGTTTGCCAAGCTGCTGCTGCGCCTGCCCGCCCTTCGCTCCATCGGCCTCAAGTGCCTGGAGCACCTCTTCTTCTTCAAGCTCATCGGGGACACGCCCATCGACACCTTCCTCATGGAGATGCTGGAGGCCCCGCACCAGATGACTTAGGCCCGCTGGTCCTGGCCCGCCCCACCCTCCTCTGCCCCGTGGACCTGGGGGCGTGGCCCGTCACTGCTGAGCCTGCACTGCCCGACCGCCCTCCTCGTTTTCCACACGACTCGTCTGGACCAGGGCAGCGGGCATCCCGGGGCGGCCTCCAGAGTGGCAGGAGCTGGTGTGAGCCCTGGGGGGGAGCCTGGGCGGGCTCACGGGGTACACGCTGCCGCCCCCGGAGCCGCAGCGGTCAGAGGGCGACTGGGCTCCGTCACGTTCTGTGGTCGCTGGGTTTGGCAATCTCCCGTGTGAGGTCCTCTATTTGCAAGGATCCCTCTGCCTCCTGTGTTGGCTGGCGCCCTGCCCTCCCAGCTTCACCCGCAATCAGGAGGAGGGGACAGGTGGTGGGGGGCTGCCAGAGACCCCCACCCGCCTCCTGGGAGGACAGAAGGGGCTCTGGTCCCTCAGAGTGAAGGGTGAGCCCTTTTTCCAAAGATGACTTTCAACCTGCTCCCCAAGCCAGTCAGATTAGGAGCCGACCTCTGTGCTGGGTTTGGGGGTCACCTGAGGCTGCAGGGACACCCACACACCCCTCCCACCTCCGTGTTCTCTTTGCATTGTCCTGGTTTCAGCTTCTGGCCCCACGTGGTCCTGTCCAGCCCACCCCCAAACCTTCCAGCCTGTGCAGTGGGCTGAGGCTGGCCCCAAGCCTGCAGGGTGTGCCCGATCTCTAGTGGACCGGAGGTCTGCTGATCACCCAGGAGGCCCACAGGGATGGGAGGCAAGGAGGGGCCTCGGTCGGCCGTGCACATTGAGGGAGGCCCAGCGGCGTCCAGAGCTGGAGGGACCTGTGGGCACTCCGCTGCGGGGAACGGACAGCTGGCTGGGGCCTGCAGCACTCTGGGCAGGGAGGCCCCTCGGCTGGCTGGTGTCTTGTGGGCCCCTGGGGTGGGGAGCGGCCGAGCGCCAGCACCCGTGGCGGGGGGGGCGGCTCCCAGAGACAGGCTGTCGTCGTGTGTCCGTCCACACCCACCCTGGTCGGGGACCTGCCTGGCCCAGCAGGCCCTGCGTCCTGGGCCGGGTCTCTCAGGGCCTCTTTGCAGGGTCGCACGCTCCCTCTGGTTCGTTTTCCCGTCTCACACCCCGGAACCCAGTGTTTGTTGGCTGGGGAGCCAGAACTGGGTGTGCGGGGTCCCGCCGCCCCTGCCAGAGGCCCTGGAGCAGGAGTAGGGGTAGGCGTTGTGGCTGCTCCCCCCAACCCTGTCTCCCCGGGGGGTGCGAGGGTGCCCCTGAGGCTGGGTGGGGACAAGCCGGCCTCCCAGCCTCCATGGGGAAGAGGGTGCCGTTCTTTGCCCTCCGGGGTCCAGCCCAGGCTGAGTGTGAGGCTCCTGGGCCGACCGTGTGGAGGACGCCACAGAACCTCTTTTCTCTGGGGCCCCCATTCCCACCCCCAAGAGATGCGTCCCTGGCGGCCCCGGCACCCGCCCCGTCTGCCCTCTGTGGCAGAGGTGGGGCGAGCTGGGGCCTGCCCAGCATCCCCCGGAAATGTCGGCCGCCTTTGGGGGTGTGGGTGTGTCAGCAGAGTGACGCAGGCACCCTGGGGGTCCTCCTCGGGCGTCCCCCCAGTGGTGGGTTTGTAGGTCTGCCCCCCACCCTGTGCCCAGCCTGCCCTGCTGCCCTGCACCACTCTAGAGCCCAGGATGGGGCCCTTCGGGGGCTGGACTCGGGGGCCGGCTGCCCGTATAGCACTGAGGGCCCCCGGCCGCCCCTCCCCAAGCCAGAAGCCCCCGGCCTCCAGGCACCCCCACCCCGGGCCCTGGGGCCGAGCCCCCTGTCTTCTCGGGCGCTGTCATCGTAATGTCGTTGCTGTGTTTGAAAAGGTGATGGTGGGGAAATGGCACGTTACTCAGTAGATAGAGTTTTCTTTAACCAGACCTTCAGTAGACCCATCTGGTTCAATTAAGGTGATTTTGTTGGTAATTATTATTTTGGTGGGACAGTCTTTAATTTTCTAAAGATAGCACTAACGTCAGCTCCTTAGCCATTCTGTGCGCGTCCCCACTTGCTGGATGCTTCCGGCACGCCCCCCCCCCCCCCCCGGCCAGCATCACCTCCTGCTGGGCCATCAGTGGGGCTCCCGCGGCCCAGGAACGAAGTCGACCACCTCTCAGGTTAGGAAGGTGTCGTCCAGGCCATCCTCTGGCGTGTCCCCCACCGGGTGTTTCCTTGGAAGCTGGCCCGCCTGGGCACGTCCGTGCAGAGGGCACCCGTCTCAGCTGCTGGCCCTCATCCCCCCGGAGGGAGGACAGCCCCCCGCCCTGGGCATCCCAGGAGGGTTTGGGCTGGCAGACCCCCCGGGCAAGTGCTGGAGCCCACGCCACGCTCCCTGCTCCGCGGAGGCCCTGGCTGGGCCCAGCTGGAGTGTCCAGCCGGAGCGTGATGGGCTGGTGTTGATCCCGCCCTGGAGTTCGGTCCCTGCCCACGCAGGTGTGTGTGGACAACACCCGCACTGTCGAGACCCCGTGCGCACAGACCTGCTCGCCATCCGCAAACACACGACCCGTTACCAGCGTTTTCTGTTCATTTTTAATCAAGACTCTCCCCCAACCCTGTTTTCCTATAAATTTGCTTGTTGTAAGCAAGTATGTAAGGACCCCTTCTTTGGTGAAATCCGGGTTCGAATGAATACCTTGAGGCAAGGAGACGCATCTATTTTAAGATGCTTTGGAGCAAACAGCTTTAGCCATTGCCAGCCCTTAGCAATGCCTTAGCCGGGACGCGTAGCTCAGAGAGGATGACATACAGAGAGAGAGAGGGGGCGTCTAAAGCTTCGGGAAAGGTAGAAAAAAAATCTATTTTTGTACAAATGTAATTTTATCCCTCATGTATAACTTGGAGGATGTGGCGGGGAGGGGGGACTTGTTTTGTTTCTGCTTCTAGAGGTGGAGGCTTTCTGAGTCGACGTCGGGATGCGAAGTGGATCCGACGGGGGGGCGCTCTGGCCGGGCGCGCGGGCCTCGGACGACACCGCTGTGCTGCGATTCCCCTCCGGGTGGGAAGGTGGGCCTGGAACTCTCGAGGGTTTTCCTCCCCTTCCGAGTAACGTTCAAGCCTCGCTCTGCGCTCTCCCTGTGGCCAGCTGGCCTTCCCGCGACTGACTGTGAAATTACTTCCCCCCACGTGACTGTTCTCGAAAACATCGCGGCCGCAGGTGCCTGGCGAACAATGGTGTCAGAATTGTGGAAAAGAGACTCAGAGCAAAACGTGAGAGGAGAAACAAACAAAACATGAGCGTTTAAAAATACGCCCCCTCAGCTTGCCTTTGTTCCGGGGGTGCTTTCCTGTCCGGGGCTGGAAGCCAGCCGCGTGGGGGGCTCCCGGCTGCCCTGGAAGGGGAGGGCCTGCCGCCTCCACCCTGCCCCGAGGGCTGCAGCGGGCACCCCAGCTGCCCTCCGACGGCGGTGGCAGCCAATCCACGGCAGCGAGACCCTGACTTGGGGCTCCTGGGCCCTTCCTCCTGGGTCTGCTCTGCATCTCAGGGCTCTGGGGCGACATCCCCCTGGGCCTGGGCCCCGTCCAGAGGGTCGCCCTCAGCCCTCTCGGGGCTGGGCGTGGGTCGAGCCCAGCCCTTGCGTCCGCATCAGCCGGGACGGGCGGGAGGCTCGCCTGGCCCCAGGATGAGTGATGTCATCGGCTTCTCCATTAACTAGCAGGTAGTGGCACCCACCTGCTCCCACTCGTCTCGACACCGTCTGGGGGCTGGATGGGGCCCGGCCGCAGCGTGTCCGCGGTGCCTGAACCTTCTCCTGCACCTCCGCTCAGCTGGCACCCTGCAGGGGCCCGGGGCGTCCTGGGGCTGGAAGCCCTGAGGCCCACAGCCCTGCCCGGCGGCGCTGGAAGCATCGTACCGAGGGCAGAGGTGGGCCCCGGGGAGGCCGTGAACCTGATGATGAGGCCTGAGGCCTGAGAGCCAGGCCCCCCGATGACCCCCCAGAGGACTCGCTGTACATGCATGTACAGTACGCACGGGGACTGGCGTGTTTACATACATACAAACATGCCCCTGCACGTGTGACACGCACGGCCTCACCAGAACTCAGCTGTCCCGGCCCCCACGGCCCGCTGCCCGCGACAGCCTCCCGGGAGTCAGCTGTGGCCTTGCCCACCAAGCTCAGCCTGGACCTCCTGGAAGGGTGGGCACAGGAGACAGACCCCCACGAGCCTCTGCACCCAGCCCAGTCTGGTTTCCTGTCATAAAAATTCAAACATAACCGCCGTGGTGACCCCTTCCTGGTCTAGGAAGTGTGTCAGCCCCAGGGGCCTGGAGAACCATAGGGTCTCCTCGCCAGTGAGGGACCCTGGCCTGCCTTCCACACGCCCGGGCCCAGGGGCTCCCTGGCCGTTGACCCCTGCCTTTGCAGGCCCTGGCCCAGCTCTGGACACGGTCTCCACGGGCGGACCCTGCAGGGGCCTCTGGCAGGTGTAAGTGGACCCCGAGGAGGGGTCCAGGGTGACGGCTGCAGGGCCTGAGGGGCCGTCGGAGTCTTTGGAGAAGACCAGGGCGCAGACGGCTCCTCGCGGGCTCCTAGGCTAGCGCAGGGCCGTGGCCAAGATGACCTCCCAAGGCTGAGGGTCCCCCGCACGTCCAGGATGCAGGCCTGAGGGCGCACCCCTGGGCTGGAGCGCCAGTCCTGGAAGAGCAGAGCGGCCCGTGGGCAGGGGCCCGAGAGGAGGAGCCCAGGGCACAGGGCTCACGCCCAGCTTCTTGCCGAGCGCCGTGCCCCTAAAGGGTCCCCGGTAACGCGGAGACCCCGGGCTGCCCGCGGCCACTGCCAGGCAACCTGGCTCCTGGCCTCCCTGCTGCCTCCAGTTGCCATGGTGACCCCGGCCCAGGGCGGTCCCCCTGGACCACAGATGCTGGGCTTGATAAGTTTTATCTGCCTCAGGATCCGGTGGTGACAGGCTGGGTGATCAGGGCTGGGGAACCTCTGAGGCGAGGTTGGGACCTTTGGACGGGACTGTGCCGGGCATCCCTGTATGGCTGGTTCCGAGCTGGGTGCTGGAGCCTGGTGACAGGAGAGAGCGGGCTCTGCCGTCGCCAGGCGAGCAGTGTGGTTGGAGAAAGGGCCTGTGGGAAATGGAGGGTGTCCCAGGAAGATGGGGTGGGCCCCCAGAGACACCCAGCAGGGTGTGCAGAGGACAGAAGCGGGGGGTCATCACTGGGCCTGAGCGCGCAGCAGCAGCAGAGGCGGCCAGCAGGGCTGAGGCCTCAGGCAGGAAACGGAACACGGGGCGATTCTGGCCCTCTGCCCCCTGATACCCGCGCGGTGCCCTCTGCCTCCGCGCTTGGGGCTCCTCTGCTGTGCCCGGGGCTGACCCCCAGCCGAGACACGGGCCGCTGCGGCCCGCCAGCCTGGCTGGGCGCGGGCTTCCCGTCCCTCCTGTCCCTGGGGGGCGATCTCAAGGACTCGGAGAGTCGGAGTGGACTGGCCATTTCACCCAGCTGCCCTCCACCTCCGGAGCCATCTGGGGGTGCTGGGGCCCCCGGGGAGCTGGGAGGGGCCGCGCCCTGGGGGAGGAGTCCTGAGACAGATGGCCGGTCGGGCCCGACCCCCATGTCCAGGAGCTCGGAGAGCAGACGCGTCCGCGCCAGGAGGCCCCGGTGCGAGGCAGCACTGCCCCCTGGTGGACGCGCAGGGCAGAGGCCGCGCGGGTCCTTCCCGTCCGGCAGGTGCCCACTGCTGGCCCCTGGAATCATTCGCGCTCCAGGCCACAGCCCGTCTGATTACATCAGGGGGTCGGGGGTCGGGGCGGGGGGGGGCCTCCCCGCTGGGCAGTGGAGCCTGCTGCGCTCAGCCCTGACTGGAAGTGAGCGGGCCCTGTCCCGCCTGGACCTCAGTTTCCCCGTCCCGCCAGCGGGGACAGACGCCTCCACCTCCCAGGGCGGTTGTGCTGAGGTGAGCAAGACCTCAGTCATCCAGAAAACACCCTGAGGTCGCCACTTCCTGGGTCATTTTCCTCGGATGAGGCCGTCCCCCGTGCGCAGGCCTGGCAGGCGTGGGGGCTGGAGCCCTCTCCACCTCTGGTCCGGGGCCACGTCTGGAGGAGGCCGGGGGACCGGGAGGGTCAGCGCCGTCATGCCCTTGACGGTGAAAGTCCCAGGGAGGTCAGTGCTGCCCATGGGGGTGGGCATTCGGGAATCCCGGGCTGTGGGGTCCTTGATTCCTCATTCATTGACGCACTCACGGGCCTCACTTACAGGCCAGGCTCCACCTGAGGGGCTGTCTATCCCACCAGGGCCCCTGGGCCCTGACTTAACCTGGGGGCTGGCTGCAGACACACTCAGAGCCTGGGAACCGGCGCTCGGCACCCAGCGAGCGAGGCTGGAAAAAACCCACTCCTGCCAGAGGCGTGCTGTTGGTTCTCATGCTTCCAAGACAGAGGTGGGTCAGGAGCGTTTAGGGAATCCAGGCCCATGGCCCTGAGGGGCTTGTGGCAGAGGCAGGGGCAGGATCACCGTTCTCGGCTTTGCTGGCCGCCCTGTGGCAGGCCCCACCCAGCTTCGGAAGCCCGCTCTGCCTGGGAGCCTGAGGTGTCAGAGCTGCCCCCAGGTCCAACCTCTGATCTCCTGTTCCTCTTGCTCCAGCGGCTGCCGGGGCCGTCCGGGGGGTCTGAGGCTCAGGAGGCTGGGCCCGGGGTCCGCCCCCGGCTGGACATGGGTGGACAGAACACTGCCCTCCTGGGCCCCAGCCTCCCCTCTGCAGACGGGGCAGCCGCAGTGAGTACGGGCCGTGCAGGCGCGGAGCAGAGCTGTGATCGCCGAAGATGAGCAGCCCCGTTGTTCGGGGAGGAAACCGAGGCCAGGAGAAGAGGTGGCCGCCCGCCTTCAACTCCAGCAGTGGGGCGCAGTTCCCCAGTGTCCGGGCGGTGCTCCTGCCTGAGCTGGCCCGGGTGCCTGCCGGGGAGGGCCAGGTGTGAGCCTGCCCAGCTGCCTGCCCGGAGCCCAGGCTGCCCGGGAGGACAGGTGGGGCCCCAGGGGTGGTGGGGACTGGCGGAGGTGCCCGTGGGCTTCCCTTCCGTCCACTGCCAAGCCTTCAGGAGGCGGGGCAGGGGCCGGGCTGGGCGAGGGGCCCACGCTCTTCTCTTAGCCACCAAGGCCCTTGGGGGAGCACAGAAAGGGGAGAGGCTGCCGCAGCAGGGCTCTTGTGGGGGGGCGGCTCCCTCGCACCCTGAGAGTGGAGGTCACCTGCTCTGGGAAGCAGTTTTCTTACGAAGTTCAGCATCATTTGGTGACCGCAGCCCTAGGTGTTTATACAACCGATTTGAAAACGCATGTCCGCCCCCAGCCTGGCACACAGACCTTCATAGCAGCTTTATTCGTAACTGCTGACAACGGGAAGCAACCAAGACGTCCTTCAGTGACTGAATGGATAAGCAGACTGAGGTTCCTCCAGACAGTGGAACACTCTTAGCAATAAAAAGAAATGAGCTGTCAACCACAAAAAGACACGGATGAATCATAAATGCATATTGCTAAGTGAAAAAGCCTAGGAAAGAGAAACTACACGATTCCATTTATGCAACATTCTGGAAAAGGCATCAGTCTGGAGATAGTAAACAGATGAGGGGTTCCAATGGGGTGCGAGTAGGGGAGATGGAAGAGTTTTAGGGCAGGAAACTCTTGGCGGGTACCTGACACTACACTTGTCCAAACCCACATGACTTTTATGCACGAACAGTGAGCCTTCCTGTATGCAAAGAGAGTTACTTGGGAGGTCAGGAGAATCCCAGGATGGCGTGCGGACTGAGACAGGGCAAGCTTCGAGTGGAGGCAACAGCGGCTGAGCTCGCAGCCTTGGGGTTGTAAAATTAGCCGTGAAGGGTGCCACCGCGGGAGCCCGTTCTCCGGGCCATGAGGCTGTTTCTGGGGCTGCAGGCTGATGGCTCTGATCGCTGGTGCCGCCCTCTGTCTACACGGAAACGACCCGGCAGCTGGATGGGGGCGCTGGCATGTCGCTGCCGGGGTGAGAGGGACGGACAGGCGAGGTGCTCGAATGACCCACGTGGCGGTGGATGAGAGCTGGAGACGCAGTGGGCACTCAGGTTTAGGTCAGGCACTCAGGTTTAGCTCCGTACAGACAGCTGTGATTACCGGTAACAGCCCAGCCCAGCATACACCAGTTTCCTTGCTCTGTCAGCTGAGAGACACTGCAGTGACGGATTGCTTACTGAGCACCCCTGCACCCAGATCTTGGTTTCTAACACCGTTCTCCAAGGCAAGGACCAGGAGTCCTGCAGGAGGCCACACCACGGCTGGGCAGGAAACGGCCGGAATGAGCCAGGCACATCTTGTTGTGCTAGAAAGTGAAAGCGAAGGGATGCAGGAACCACAGAAGCAGGACAGCGGGTCGTTGGGGGGACGCAGGATGTGACCAGCATGGTCCCTGCGGACGAGGCTGGGACACCCGGGGCTGGGACAGAACAAACAGAGTCGGACTGGATTATGACTCAAAGGACAACATGAATATCCGTGAGCCTGTTCTCATATAAATACACGGCTGGATAAATAAACACGTGGTGGACAAGAGATGACTCTCCCTGCAGAACTCCAGAGGATTTATGTGCATGCTCCCCCTCCACGAGCTGGAACCTGATCCCTCATCCTCGAATGCAAGCTGTGCCCAGTGACCTCCTTGTAAAGAAGGCTGCCGGGGGAGGCAGACGAAGGGGAACGTTCCAGGGGAGGGTGGGGAACCCGGCAAACCCGACCTCAGCCAGGGATCGCGGTCAACATCAGCGGTGATGCGTGCTGGTGCCAGCCGCACCCCTGGCACAGTGGCGTGAATAGGGCACCTCCCTCAGGGTCTTCCTCCCAACCCCCGCCCCATCAAGGCCAGCACGAGAAAACCGGAGAATCCCCCGCTGAGGGACCTTCCACAGAACCCCTGAGCAATCCTCCTCAGAACTGTCAAGCCATCAAAAGCACAGAATGTCTGAGAAACCGTGGCCCAGGGGAGCCCACGGGGACATGGCAACTCAGGGTCGGGTGGGGTCCCGGGCCAGAGGAGGACGTCGTCGGGGGAAGGGCAAGACACCGAGCGGGGTAAGTCAGGCTTCGCGGGTGGCTCAGGCGGTGGAGAACCCGCCTGCGATGCGGGAGACCTGGGTTCGGTCCCTGAGTCAGGAAGATGCCCTGGAGGGGGAAATGGCAACCCACTCCAGTGTTCTTACCAGAATCCCATGGACAGAGGAGCCTGGCGGGCTGCAGTCCCTGGGTCCACAAAGAGCCAGACACGCCTGAGGGACGGACACTTCCGCTTTTGCTTCGTGGACACAAACAGGCAGAGCTCGCTTTATTGTGTTTCACTTTGGTGCAGAAACTCTGCTGCTCACACACTGGGGGTCAGTGGCAACCCCGAGCCGAGCAAATCTGTTGGTGCCTGTTTCCCAGCGGCATGTGCTCATGTTGTGTCTCTATGTTGCATTTGGGGAATTTTCCCAGCGTTTCAAACATTTTCATTATTGTTAGATCCGTTGTAGTGACCTGTGACCTCTGGCGTTACTGTTGTCATTATCTGAGAAGCCATGAGCTGCGCCCGCATCTGTCCACGGACTGAACCAACAAACCATGAGCGCCTGCATCCGACCGCGGACTGAACCGACAAACCGTGAGCGCCCGCGTCCGTCCGCGGACTGAACCGACAAACCGTGAGCGCCCGCATCCGACCGCGGACTGAACCGACAAACCGTGAGCGCCCGCATCCGTCCGCGGACTGAACCGACAAACATGTGTTCTGGCCGCGCCCCCGTCTCTCTCCCTCTCCTCTGGCCTCCCTTTTCCCCGAGACGCAACAGTAGTGACATTTGGCCGATTAAGAACCTTCCGTGACCTCCAGGTGTTCAAGGGAAAGAAAGAGCTGCTCGTCTCTGACTTTAAATCAAAGCTAGAAACGATGGAGCTCAGTGAGGAAGGCATGTCAGAAGCTGAGACAGGACGGGAGCTAGGCCTCTTCCACCAAACAGTTAACCAAGGTGTGAAGGCCAAGAGAGCCTTTGAAGGAAATTAAAAGTGCTTCTCCAGGGATCGTGCGAATGATAAGAAAGAGACAGCCCTCCTGCTGGTACAGAGAAAGTTCGGGTGGTCTGGATAGAAGATCAAACCAGCCCAACATCCCCTTAAGCCAAAGCCTCATCCAGAGGAGGACCCGAATCCCTTCAATTCTGTGAAGGCTGAGCGGGGTGAGGAGGCTGCAGAAGAAAACTCTGAAGCTGGCAGGGTTGGCTCGTGAGGGTTCGGGGGAGAAGCCGTCTCATAACGGACAAGTGCAGCGAAAGCAGCAAATGCTGATGTGGAAGCTGCAGCGAGTCATCGGGAAGACCCAACTCAGATCATTCATGGGGGAGGCTACACTAGAAGGCAGATGCTCAGGTAGAGGAAACAACCTCCCCTGGAAGAAGCTGCCATCCAGGCCTTTCGTAGCCAGAGAGAAGTTAGTGCCTGGCTTCAAAGCTTCAAAGCACAGGCTGACTCTCTTGTTAGGGGCTGACGCAGCTGGAGGCCTGAAGCTGAAGCTAGTGCTCATGCACCATCTGAAGATTCTAGGCGCCCCCACTTTTTAATTTCTCAGACAACTAGTGATGTTGAGCATCTCTTCATGGGCTTTTTGGCCATCAAAAGTGATTTCTTGAGATGGACCCTACTCCTGGTGAAGAAGGGGTGAAGACTGTTTAAATGAGAACAAAAGATTGAGAATATTACGTATGCTTAGTTCACGAAGCAGTGGCAGGCTATGGGAAGACTGACTCCGATTTTGGAAGAAGTTTCACTGTGGGTAAAATGCTCTCGAACATCACTGTGTGCTCCAGAGAAATCGTTCATGAAAGCAAGGGTCGGCAGACGTGACCAACTGCACTGTTGCCTACTTTTAAGAAACAGTCACGGCACCACCCTGACCCCTCAGCAGCCGTCAGCATCCAGGCCAGACGCTCTACCAGCAAAGAGACTGCATCTTACCAACGGCTCCGATGCAGTTAGCATGTTTTAGCAGTGACATATTTTAAATTGAGATTTGTACACTGTTTCCTTAAACATAGCGCTATGGTAGTCAGCAGGGATGCCCCAGTAGACTACCGTGCAGTGTACACAGAACCGCTAGTGCCCTGGGAACCAGAGCTCTCCTGTGACCGGCTTTCCTGTGATGCGTAGCAGTGGCCTGGAACCGAACCTGCTGTCCCTCTGAGCTGTTGCCTTTAATAATGACGTTTTGATCCTGGTTCCTTAGTCACGACACACGAACCAGATGAATGTAAGATGTTAGCATTGGGAGGAGCCGGGTGAGGGGTCTGTGGGAACTCCCTGTGCTATCTTTGCAAATCTGGTAAATCTAATACGATTCTAAAATAAAAGAGTTTATGGAGAAAATTAAAGCAGCATGGATATGTAAAAAAAAAAATGTCACAAGCTGTGGCCTGAACACTGACTTTCGGAAACCACTGTGTTTACTGAAGGCCTCTTGTGAGCTGGCCCAGCTGTGGTGAATAAGGATGTTCTTTTCTAAAGAGATTCCATATGCAGCCTGTCTTTAATATCCCGTTTTCAGGAGCGATGGAGGGAGGGAGGGAGACAGAGGGGAGGAGAGCGTGACGGGGCACCGTGGATCGGGGATGGGCGCTGAAGGGCTGGCCTGCAGGCTGACCATCTCTCCTACCTCTCTCCCCTCCTACCCCACCGAGGTCTCTCTCTAGGGCCCCTGTTGTATTGCCTGAGCCCCTTCCCCAGGAATGGGAGCCCCCCGGGAACAAGCCTGACCCCAATTACAGAGCCTCATGGGCAGGTTTTCGTCTGGTAGCTCAGCTTTGTATTTTGATTAGAAAGGCCCCAAACCCAGCTGACAGAGCAGCAGCCTGGGTACTTGGGTGAGGGCTGGGCTGCGGGGAGACCAGTCTCATCTCGTAGCCGGTGCTCGCAGGCGGCCGGTGGCCTGGCTTCCGGGCCTGGTGCTTGAGAACACGTGGGGGATGACAGGGGGCTCAGCTTGGCACCCCCGGGCCCCACCATGTGTTGCCCCCTGTGGGCTGAATGCCAGGCTTCCAGTAGATCACCCCCACCCTCCCCGGCAAGTTCTAGGTCAGCAGGACCCAGGCTGGAGGTCTCAGGACCAGGGACTTTCCCAATAGAGAGGCAAGGTTTCCTGATATGTCTGGGGCTGGGTGGGGCTGGGTGTGAGAGGGGAGCTTGGACCATCCTTATGGAACCCATAGTGGGGTCTTCAGAGCCTCTATCAGAGTCTCAGCGTGGGGCTGGGGCCAGGAGACTGGCTCGTGTAGCCCCGGAACTCAGTCTGGGGCCTTATTTCCCCCTGTCCGCCCTTGGGAATGCAAGTCTGGGTCCTGGAGCCACACACATCAGCTCCCCCCGCCCCCACCCCCAGAGAATGTCCCGGGGGCGTGGAAGGTGGGGCCCTCCCGGGCTTCAGGTGGCCGTCCAGGGCGTGGAAGCCCAGGATATCGTGGTTTCTGGAGGAGCCTGAGGTCTTAGAGGGCCTTGGGCAGGACAGGTTGAAGGAAAAGGTCTAGGAATGTGCCAGTGAGCACAAACTCAGGGACCTTTGGGTACAAGAAATAAGTGACACTTTGATTAAAAGAAAAAGAAATTTACAAAAAAATCCCATGAGAAAAAAATGAAAATGAGTTCAGAGCGAATAGGGCGTTGATTGAGGATCTGTTCTGACTGTTCATCTCCAGGACCAGCTGTGCGTCCATTCCAACAAATAGTGGACGCTGCCTGGGGCGTGTGTTGAGAAGGATCCAGAGGCCTGAAGTGTTGGTTCTGCCACGGCTTTAGGAGCCTGGAGCCTGTGCAGTCATCAGCCTGATAGAACCGCCTCTGTGTAGCTGCATCAGTGGGTCAGTGGAGTGACTGTGAGTGTGAGTGGGGCTGGCTGGCTTCACCTGCTCTCCCTGTGACTTTGGTGGTTTCTTTCTGTTGGACCCACCAGGATAAGTGCCATTCCCCCGCCCCCCCCCCGCCTCCCCCCCAACCTCTTAGGGCTCTAGAAATCCCACCAGTTCCTAGACACCCTGTCTTACTCCCTGCCAAACACCTGGCTGTTCTGTTTGAAGTTACAACTTGTAAAGCTGGGTGGCAATTCTCCAGGTCAACAGTGGCGCTCTCTAATTATTCCAGGTGGTGCTTGTTCAGTGGCTAAGTTGTGACCGACTCGTTGCGATCCCATGGACTGCAGCACACCAGGCTTCCCTGTCTTTCCCATCTCCTGGAGTTTGCTCAAACTCATGTCCATTGAGTTGGTGATGCCATCCAACCATATCATCCTCTGTCACCCCTTTCTCCTGCCTTCAGTCTTTCTCAGCATCAGGGTCTTTTCCAATGAGTCAGTTCTTTGCATCAGGTGGCCAAAGTATTGGAGCTTCAGCTTCAGCATCAGTCCTTCCAGTGAATATTCAGAGTTAATTTTCTTTAGGATTGACTGGTTTGCTCTCTTGGAGTTTAAGGGACTCTCTTGAGTCTTCTCCAGCATCATAGTTTGAAAGCATCAATTCTTTGGTGCTCAGCCTTATTGATAGTCCAACTCTCACATCCATACATGACCACTGGAAAAACCACAGCTTTGACTATGCGGATCTTTGTTGGAAAAATGATGTCTCTGCTTTTTAATATGTTGTCTAGGTTGGTCATAACTTTCCTTCCAAGGAGCAAGCATCTTTTATTTCCATGGCTGCAGTCACCGTCTGCAGTGATTTTGGAAACTTCCTCAATTTTGCAACTTCAGCGTTTATCAAACCAAAGTGACTTACTGATTGATCAAGTTCAATAAGGCTTTCCTTTGTGCACAGAACTTTGTGGATTATGACTGAATTAAGTCAGAATCAAGGAAAGATTCATTTCATGATCTATTACCTGCCAATAGCTTTCCTTGGCTTGTGGGGCAGCAAGTGAGGCTGACTCCAACAAAAGGTAACCTCCTTGAAGTACAGGATGGTTGTGAAACTCGCCACAACTGGAGGCATTCGGCGCCCTGCCCCAGAGAAGCATGCAGCGGTGCCTCTAGCTGGCCTGATGGCAGAGACGGGGCCGGGCCACCAGCTCCCCCGTCCACCACCAGAGGGCAGCATCGCCCCACCGAGGGCCCTCCACCGCCAAGCCTGATGGCCGGGGCTGATTGGCTAAGCCCTGCCGTCTCCCTGGCAACCGTCTCCGGCCCTCCCTCTTCCGGCGCCCACCCCGCCGCGCGCGGCTCTGTGACGGACAGGGGCTGCCCCGGCTGTCTGTCCCGGTGCCTGGGCCCGCGGAGCTGCCGGGATGGACTCTGCTGGCCGCAGCCGGGGCCCGTAACAGCACCTCTGGTTTCCTCTTGGCCGAGGGGCCCTCCTTTCCCCCAAATGCTTGCCTTCCCCACCTCCTGTTCTGGAAAGGGAGAGGGAACTTTCAGAGCCGGGTCCAAAGGCAGCGATCCCCTCACACCCCGTGGAGGGGAGGCGGCTGGGGAGGGGCCGCCGGCGGCCGAGGAGTGGGGGCGCAGAGTGCGGGGACCACCCACGAGAGTTTGGGACTCCAGCTGCTTCCGGACCTTGTCCAGTGGGAGCCCCCTCTGTGGCCAGACACTGTGCAGTGGGAAGTGATGATGAACTTTGGCCACCTTGGACCCCGACGTGACACCCCAGGCTCGTCCCCAGGGCCTGTAGAAAGGCTCAGGTGGGCACCTTCCCAGTTCAGAGTGAGTCGGGGGAGAAGGGAGGCCACGGACACGCAGGAGCCATAGGGTCGAGCTCCTGCTCCTGGGGGTGGCGGGCAGGGCCTTCGGGCTCAGCTGGCTCTGAGGAGTCAAGGTGAGGGGCGGGTGGGGAGCCTCTCTGGACGGCGCGGGCAGGGCAGACCTCGGTGAGAAGTCGGGGAGGGACAGCCCGGCCTCCCGCTTCCTTGCCCAGCTTGGCCTGGCCGACGCTGACCCCGAGCGGGAGGCGGGCACCCAGCCTTCCCTGTGCCTGCACCGCCCGCCGCCCTGCCTGCAAGAATGGCGGAGGACGAGCTTGAAGACCTCAGATGGGCCTTGCTCCCTGGAGCTCCTCCTCTTCTGCCCGGGGTGCCCCGGGACCCCAGCACAGGGCCAGGCGCCCAGTGGGGCCGATCACGCGACACGGGGTTGGGTGCAGACTCCAGAGAGGGGAGCTGGATCCAGTAACCTTCTCATGGCATCTGAATTTCAACAGGATGGTCATGGGTCATGCTGGACGAGTCTGAGGCTCCAGGTCAAAGGCGATGACGGTCAGCCCTGAGTACCCATCCATCTGTTCATTTGCTCAGAAATTGCTGCCCTGGGCTGGCTCAGGGAGGGCAGTGTCTGCCCCGTAGAATGTAACATGTGGCTGGAAATTTTCTAGTAGCTACATTAAGAACTATGTGAGTTTTATTAATATATTTTATTTAACCCAGTATGTCAACCCATTATCATTTCAACATGAGAGTCATCTAAAAATTATTAATGAGCTATCTCACACTCATTTGGGGTACCAAGTCTGAGACTTGGTAGGTATTTTACACTTTGAGCACTTCCCCACTTGTATAAGTCAGACTTCAAGCTCTCAAAAGTCACAGGCATCCAGGGCTGGCATGCTGGGGAGTGGAAGTCCAGAACATGTTCTTGGGGCTGCATGCAGGCAGCCAGTGTGGGCTGATCTGTGCCAGGACAGGGTCGCAGGACTATGGGGATTCAGAGTGAGGAACACCCAATGGGGAGGGGCTTGGAGGACTCCCAGGAGGAGGAGGCATTGGGGCTGGGCATGGAAGGGTAAAGAGGAGTTCTTCGGGTACAAAGTAGGGGAAAGAAAATCTTCTAATTTCATTCCTGGTTCCCAAGTTAGGGCCTGAAGAAATCAAGGACTTTCAATGACTTGCCACCAGGTTCTCCTAAAGGAACCACTGATTTAAATCCTCTTATTTCAGGACTTTCCTGGTGGTCCAGTGGTTAAGGCTCCCTGTTCCCAGTTCAGGGCGCCAGGTTCAGCCCCTCATCGGGGAGCTAAGAGCCTGCACAGTGCAACTAAGAGCCAAATAAATGAATATGCTTTAAAAAACCCACTTCTTTCTGCCCCTGGGCCAGTGCTAATATTTTTCCATATTCTAGTAACAAACCCTGAGGTCTAGAGGTTCAGCTACTAAGAGGCATGTGTGCTCAGTCGTGTCCGCCTCTTTGTGATCCCAGGGACTGAAGCCCACCAGGCTCCTCTGTCCACGGAATTTTCCAGGAAAGAAGACTGGAGTGGGTAGCCGTTTCCTCCTCTGGGGGATCTTCCCCACCCAGGGATCGAACCCGTGTCTCCTGCACTGGCAGGTGGATTCTTCACCACTGCACCACCTGGGAAGCCCAGGTGGGTAATCGGTGAGACATACATCTTATCTCGGTCTTAGACGGCAGTGGCCACTGAGACAGTGTTACCTGGCCCTCCCTCTGCTTTATGGAGCCGTGGTGCATGTGCCTGTTGCTTCACACAGGGAAGGAGGGGCAGGTCCTGAAACTTGTCTGTAACCAGGTGTCAACCCCGGGTCCCACTCGGGCAGTCTTCCTTAGGTCTAACTGAAATCTCTCTTGCTGCTGTTGGGGTCCCAGGCGAGGCTGCTTCACAGGACTGCTCTGACGCCGCCTCGCCCATGGCTATCCCCAGGGACCTGGAGCAGGACCTGGAGAGCTGCCGTGTTCGTGCAAACCTTTAGAAGTGAATCTTCCAAATGTGTCTGCAAAGAGTCAAAAGGTTGCGCCTTCATGGGGTCGACCGGTGTGGGGCGGCTGAGGGCCAGGGCAGCTCTGTGGGAACAGAGCCACGTTCCCTCTGCTCTCCTTCCTGCAGGGAGGGGGTCTACTGGGGTGATGCTCTGTTGTTCCGCTTGATGGGGGGTCAGCAAGAAGGCCCCCGTTTCCTGAAGCCTCCCTCCTGTGTTGTCTGGAATTGAGCTTCCGGGCTTCGTTCTGGGGCGTTTGAGCATCACCCTTTGCCCTTACAGACGCTCACTACACGTTCCGGGACTGAAGCGGTCCCTGTCGTTCTCCTCAGGGGTCCTGGGGGTTTGAGGCAGGGACCACCGTGAAGGGTGCTCGTGGCATGGGAAGTTGAGGAAGAACCTTTGGGTGATGGGGCAGAAGCTCCTCCAGCAGTCAGTCCTGGCCTCTTAGGTGGTCCCCGAGATGTGGCCCGGCTCCTCTGCTGAGAGGTGGGCTGTGTGGGCGCCTGGGTCTGCCTCTGTCCTGTCACCCGAGAGGAGGTTTCAGCAGCACAGCCTTGCCCTCACACCTGCTGTGCATCTGGTGGGTTTTTTTCCCTTTCTGCCTCCTCAGCTTGGGCTCGTTTGGGCTCACTGCCCACGTGGTGGGTCACGGTTGCTACGCAGTCAAGAGTTAGCTCAGCAGACTCAGGTTGCCCACACCCTGCATGCCCAAGGGAGGCCAGGCTCTGGCTCAGCTCCCGGGGGGGACCTCTGGACACTGGGGACGTCCTGCTGATAAAAGCATCTTCGTCTACCTGCTCCAGGCCGTGCCAGGGAGTCTGTGAAATGATGGGGTTTATGGGGGGGGGAGCTCAGGGTCTCTGGTATCAAGCAGACCTCTGCAGGGACTAGAAGCTAAAGTCACCAACATGGGCAGCCAGGCTTGTCTTCGTGACGCACCTCCAAGGAGATCCAGGCACCAAAGCTCAGGGGCCTTCCCTGGCTGGCACCCCCCGTGATGTCACACATCCCCCAGGTGGGGCCAGTGCCTGGTGTCCCTGGGACCCCCCCCCCCCCCCCGGGCTGGTTTTTATCTGTCCTTTTGGGCCAATAAACCTTAACTGTGAGCACGGTGGCTTGGCTGAGTTCTGCAAGTCCCTCCAGCGGACCCTGGGAGCCTAGGGGGGGTCTGGAGCCCCGGGGGGCAGGGTCAGCCTCCCTGTTGACTGGCCCTGAGGCAGGTGGGGGGGTCCCTGTCCCTTCTGAGTCATGTGGGAAGCCTTGTGTCCAGAGGCCCCTGTGGGACGTCTTCAGATGCTGGGACACTTTGCGGGGCTCCCTTTGACCTTGATTCCTCTCTCCCATCCATGTTCTCAACTCTGCCCACAGGGCATCCGCGTGGCATCCTATACTCCCTGGGGAGAACTGAACTGTTTCTGGTTGGGCGGATGATCCTCCCTGAGTGGGGCTCCTGCTGACCGAGGCGGGGGCACAGCCTTGGCGCCCCCCCATTCTGAACCTGGAGGCACCTAGGACAAGGGTGGGGCTGTTGGGAAGACGGGGCTCCGTGTGTGCGCGTGCGGGTTCTGCCTTGTCTGGGGCTGGGGCTGGGCGGGACTGCAGGGCCTCTGGGTCCCCCCCAGCTCAGCGGAAGCTGCGAGCTGCCTGTGCTAAGGCTCTGGTGGCGTGCAGATCGCGGAGGCCTGGGTTTCCCTCTGGGGGCCCCGTGTGCCCGTTTCCCCAGACGGGCCTCGGGCCTCGGCCCGGATGCTGGGTCCGTCCAGGCCGCGGCTGCCATGCTCTTTGGCCTCTGCCTCCTTCCGGGATGGACACTGGCCCTCCTTCCAGCCCTGCCGCCCAGCCCCGTGGGCCTGCATGCCTGCGTTCAGGTGAGCTGCTCCAGGTGCAGCGGCCCTGATGCCAGCCCTGGGCAGAGGCTGCTGGGCATGAAGGGTCCCATGGAGGCGCCGTGGAGGTGTGGAGCTGGGCGCACCATGGGTGTGAGCCACGGAGCTGGGAGTGCCCCAGGGTCAGCCTGTGCCCGGAGCCTGGTCTTAACGCCCTGCTCTTTCCCAGGCCGTGGCCTGCCCTTGGCCCCTGCCCAGGCCCAGGCCCCGCGTCCGGGGATGGGCGCTGCCCCGGTGCCCTGTGGGCCCCCGGCCGTGTGTTGGGACCCGGGCCCTGGCTGGAGACCGACGCCTCCCCCAGCCTGCAGCCTGGCCTCCGCCCCCGCCCTGCCACGTCGCCGCTTCCACCCCAGCGGCAGGAAGCCGCGCGCGCGCTCTTTCTGCAACGCTTTGGAGGGCTGCTGCTGCAGGCAACATCTGGCCGCAGTCCAAGGAACATAATAAAAGAGAGAGCGAGCGAGAGGGAGTCAGGGAGGGAGGTTTGGAAAAACCATCTGATTCCACTTTGCAAAGACAACTGCAGTTATGTCTCTGAGGGTTTCGAAGTCACTTCGGATTCAAACCGTGCTGGGTGACGTCAGTGGGAAAAAATGAAGCTCGCCCTGGTTCTGGGACACACACCACATGAAGTCGGTCCCAGCAAGCTCCCGGCCTGCGATCCAGGACAGCGGATGGCCCGCGGGGTCTTTGCAGAAAGGCAGGGGCCAGGGTCCGCCGCTCTGGACGTCCCGGGCCGTCCGGCCTCAGCTCCGCGGCCTGACCCGGGGCGGGGGCAGGGGGCGGGCAGAGTGTGACCATGGATAGGAGAGAGGTCGGGTCAAAGGGAGCCCTGCGCACAGTGTCCCGTGTTTGCAGGCGCCCAGGGGCTTCTGGACACAGGACTGCCCACGTGACACAGCCGTGGGCCCCTCGGAACAGTGCAGTGTCTCTCACCCCTGCCGGGCGTCGGGGGCTACCAGCCCCGGGACGGAGAGACATCCTGGCGTTGCTGGGCCTCCAGCCTCATCATCGGGAAGGTCCCCTGGGCTGTGGGGGTGTCCCGGGCCTCGGCTCCTTCTCTGAGCACGCTCAGGCTCCCACACTTTGCAAAGTCAGAGTTGAAGCTTGGGGCCGATGTCTGGGACCCTTCCAGTGTCTGTCGGCTGCTCCCAGCTACCATGGGCACTGGAGGGGGAGTGAGGAGGAAACTCCACCACCACCCTCCCCACCGCCGCCCCCCCACCCCCCACCCCGGTCCCTCCTGCCTGGGGCTGCTCTGGTCAGGACCCTGCCCCTCCGGATGGGGGCTCCAGGGGTCCCGGAACACAGCAGGAGCTGATATGGCCCTGGATCCACAGAAGAGGGTACAAGGCCCCCTCCTCCAAAATTCCAGGGGCTTCGTGGAGACTTCCCCTACCTCGACAGAGCCAGGCCTCGGGACAAGGTCGCCATAGCCTCAGAGCCCTCAGTCCCTAGAGGCAGGGCCCCCCCAGGGAAGGGTGGTGGCCTAAGTGGTGGCCTCCCACCACTTACAGAGCTCCCAGAGGCACACGCCCTGACCCCCGCGGAGTCCTGCCTGGGGTCTGCACAGGTGGCCTGGCTTAGCTGTCATCTCCACATTTGCTTCCCAAGTGTGTTTTGAAAGAGAGCGTAGCAGAGAAGCCTGGTGACGGCAAGGCTGGGCGGACGCCGGCCTGAAGGAAGGCAGATTCCGATCAACCCGCATTTGTTGGCAGCCAGTGGTGCCAGGCCCGAGGGCAAGGGCCCAGGGCCCGGGGCCAGCCTCCAGGGTCGCCCCCGAGCAGCCCCGCTCCAAGGGGCCCACTTTGGGGGGAGGAGGTGGGCGTCCTGGGGTGAGGGGGACTTGCAGGGGGCGCTGGGGCTGGGTGGGCCGGAGGGCCAGGGGCCACATGCCCGGGGGTGGGGCTCAGCCTGGAGGGGGCCCGTGCTGTGACTGGAGGGGGGCAAAGCCTGGCTCAGGACGGGGTGGGGGGCGGGGGCGGGGCTGCCTGTCTGGGACGCGGTTCAGCCGTGGTGCAGCAGAGCCTTGACTCATGGGCTGGGGCCTCGCGGCCTCTGGGGGTCTGAAGACATTTTTTCCATGGAAAGTAGCTGCTGGCGCTCCGCTGAGCAGGGAGCTCTCTGCCCCCTCCCGTTGCCGGCCGAGCCTTTGGCAGTGGGCTGTCCACTCATCGGGCCGAGCCTCCCTGCTGGACTTGCCGTGGGCCTGGGCCGAGGTGGGAGCGCCAGGCAGGGGTCAGTCGGGCGGCCCTGGTGCCTGGTCAGCCCGCAGAAGGAGCTGCCCTGTGCATCCTCGGCCCTGGGGTGGGGCGGGGGACGAGACAATGAACGTCAAGGTCTGGCTGCAGGGTGACAGACACGATTGCTGCGTTAGCTCTTTGGGCGAAGCTGGCGGGGGTTACGGAGGTATAGGAAGTGGACTGTCCCCTTCGTGGGGGTGCAGCTGAAGTGGCAGACGCTGGAGTATTTACTGAAGCTTTTGATCTTGGGAGCGGACACCTCGAAACCTCTCCACTGCACTGGTGGTGAGGTGCCTCTCTGCTTGGGTGGGCACCAGGGCTGGCTCGCCCCTGGGCGACACAGGACGCCAAATGGTTAATCAGAAACCCTCCTCGGAGCCCCTTGAAGGTCTTGTCCCCTCACGGGAAACATAGGCACCCTGGGAGCCCGAGAACCACGCACCAACAGAGGGGCCTCGCCGTGGGCCAGGGGGTCCGCCAGGATGGTGAAGGCTCGCTGCCCCTGGCCTGAGGCATCGGGACGCTGCTGTCTGCAGCTCTGCTGGAGGGGCAGGGCCGTCTGGGGTGGCAGGCCTCCAGCCTGCACTGGGGCTCCTGGCCCAGTGTGAGTGCAGCCTGGGGTAGACCCTGACTGCATTATCCCCAGGTGGCCTCGGCCACGTGGGCTGGGGGCTTCCACAGGGAGCACTCTGAGGCTGTTCCCGACCATACCCTCTCCTCCAGGAAGCCCTACTGAGCTTCTTGCTCCTTTGGACTCTGCTGGGTTCGGCACGTGGACCCCACAGTCTGATCTCGAGTCTTCCGCCGTTTTACAAACAGAAATCTTGTCTCTTGGGAGAGCCGGGGTCAGGGCCCCAGCCTAAGGCTTGGCTGGCGCAGGGCTCTCCACACGCACTGCTTGTGTTGGCCAAGGGGAGGTGGTGCCAGGCCTGGGGGCCCCGAGAGGGCACCTGCTTTCCAGGTGGAGCAGCCTGGGTATGACTCCCAGCTACGCCACCTGTGACCTCCAGGGCCCTGAGCAGGCCTCCCATAGCTCTACGCCTCAGTCTCCCCTTCTGTGAAATGGGATCTTAGCAGCACTGGCCTCCTCGGCTTACTGGAAGGATCTAAGGGCCTAACGGGTGTGAGCGCCCCGCCCAAGGTCTGGCACCTGGAGAGGTCGGGAGCCCCCAGGGTGGACCAGGCTTAGGGGACCCTGGACTCAGAACTCCCAGGCCATGAACCTCCCTCTCTGGCTGAGCACCCTGGCCTGCACCTCCTCTAGGAGGCCCTCCAGGGCTGCCCAACCCCAGCCCGTCATCTGAGCTCTGGGAGCTCCAAGCAGCTCACGCTGGTGTTTTTTTTTCCCCACCCCAACTATGATAGCCACAAATGTCTCCAGCCATTGCCAGATGTTCCCTGGGGGGGACAAAATGCCCCTTGCTGAGAACCCCTGGCTTAGAGAAAGAAGCCCCGTCCTGAGTCACGTGGGGTTGGGACCAGCTCGGTTGTGGCCTCCTCCAGGAAGCTCGCCCTGGTTCTCCGCAGTACTCTCTCATCAAGCATTTCTGCTCATTTCTGGTGTGAGTGTCCATCTGGTGGGGCATCGATAAGATTCTGTGAGGCCTGCCTGAGCGCCCTGCCCCTGGGCCGCTGCTGTGACGGGCCCGTCCCCCCCTCACTCTGCAATCCTCATGGCTGGAGGCCCGGTCCTTGCGGTCCTGCCTGGGGCCCCGGGGCCAAGTGGGCTCCTGGGGCCCCGGCCCCGTGAGGCCTGCCGGGCACCGCAGGGGACCCTGAGGCCCAGAGGAGGGAGGGGTCAGCTGCGGCTCTGTCTGCTGGTCCGCGGCCGGGGCAGGGGGGTGGCGTCTCGATACCTGCGTGGACAGGTGCGTGCACGTGGGGGAAGAACCTTCCAGAGCTCAGTGAGGGATGATGTCCCTTGCCCAGCTCACCCTCCAGAAGGCCCTGGGGTCTGACTGCAGATAAGCTGCAGTCCTGGGCGCCCTGTGTCCTGCTGCCTGCCTCCTCGTGGGCCCCTGCACTCTGCCTGGTGGGCATCTGGGGTGTTCCTGGCGGGGCACCCTGCTGGCCGATACTGCAAGCACCCCAGGCCTCCTGGACGGCTCTCAGAAGTGCAGGGGCCGGGGCCAGAGCTTCCCCTCACATCCTCACGTTGACAGGACTGACAGCGTCCCGGTCACCTGAGGGTCACGTGCCAGCGTTCAGAGTCCTGCTGGGGGGACGCAGGCGGCCGGCTTCCCAGCGCGTGTGGCCGCGGCCGGGGTCACGGGCTCACTCCACGGCGTCCTCCGGGTCAGCGGGCCCCCGAGGGGTCCTCGAGTGGCCCCGTGGCTCAGCCAGGTCCCAGCCCTGGCCTTTTCCGCGAGCACCCTGGGGGCACTATCCTGAGGCCAGTTTCCTCACGTGCCTGGCTCTTCTCCTCGACAGGAGCCCCTGTCTGATACGCAGGATGGGTTCTGTTTGTGTGAGTTGAGCCAGCACCCAGGTCTCCCTGTCTGCCTTCTGCCCTGAGCTAATTGGACCCGGGGGGGCTGTGTGGGCTCTTTATGTGTGTTCAGAGAGAGGGAGGTGCGTTTCACCTCTGGCCGCCTGACCGCAGGCATGTCCCTGGGCTTCCTGGCCACGGTGTCCTTGTCCGTCAAGTGGGGATAAAAGAGGAGCCCCCACCTCTGGCGTAGAGGTTTCGGCTTAGCACGTGGCCACGAGCCAAGCCAGGGTGACGGGGGCTGACCCGGCAGCCGTGTCCCTGGAGCCGGGATGAGCGCTGCATCCATCTGCTGGGCATCCACCTTTGGAGGGGCTCTGCTGAGCTGGGCCCGCTGGTGGAGCGGGGTGGAGGCAGGACGGAGGCTGCGGTCAGTAGCTATGGCCGGAGGAAAGCTGGGGAAGAGATGGGGCTGCAGTCATGATGCCAGGGTGCCCCGGGGCTTGGCTGGAGGAGAGTCAGCATCTGGCTTTGAGGGAGGGGGGTGCCCCTCTGAAAAGGGGCAGCGCTGGGCGCAGTGGAGAGGCTGCAGTCCCAAAGTAAGTAAGTGTCAGTCGGTCAGTCGTGTCCGACTCTTTGTGACCCCGTGGACTGTAGCCCGCTGGGCTCCTCTGTCCATGGGACTCTCCAGGCAAAAACACTGGAGTGGGTTGCCATGCCCCCCTCCAGGGGATCTTCCCGCCCCAGGGACTGAACCCGGGTCTCCTGCACTGCAGGCAGATTCTTTACCATCTGGGCCGCCAGGGGAGCCGAGCACGAGCGTTAGGCGCACACAGCTCTTGTGTTCCCTGAGTCTCCGGCCTCTGTTATCGCAGCCAAACTCCTCTGACTTCTCCTCGGGGAGACAAACAGGCAGCCACAGAGCCGCCTCCGCCCCCCACCCCCAGATGCATCCCTCTGCCTGAAGCCTGTCTGGAGGGCGAGGCCATCAATTTTGCAGGAGCAAGGGAGGAACAGAAACCTTTACAACTAGGCAATAAAATCCCAGCCAACCAAACGCCGGCTGGGCCGCAGGCTGGAGGCTGAGACGGGCAACCCTGCTGTCCTGGCCGGCTGGTGCCTGCCCATGGGAGTGTGGCCCTGGCCACCCCCCAGTCTCCAGAAGGTCCCCTGTGCCTGCAGGTCACTGGCCTGGAGACCATCCCAAACTTCCCCCTAACAGCAGCTTCCATTGCCTGTTACTCAGCTCTCCTCTTCATTTAAATTAAGAACGTTTTCAAAGGAAGGTTCATGCTCTAAGCCCATTCCGCGCCCGACCTCCACTTCCACAGGTGAGAGAGCAAGGCGGTCTCTGCCCTGGACCGTCCAGGCTCCCTCAGGGAGCAGGCCTCGGGGTGCCTGCCGCTGTCCTGCCATCCGTCTCCACGCCCACGGCCACCTCCACGCACAGCCGGCTTCCCCCTGCCCCCAGCAGTAGCAGGGTCCGGGTCACCCCCTCCTGCCGGAGGTCCCTCTGTCCTCACCCCGATCTGACCATCTCTCCCCTCCGCCGAAGACGCACGAGGTAAAGCTCAGCATGCAAACCCGAAGGCTGCTCTCAAGATAAGGGTCAGGCCGGACCTCGCCTCCCTGGCCCCTCCCGACCCCCCAGAGTCCCCCCGCCGCAGGCTCCCCTGCCCTCTCGTCACCTGGTTCTCTCCTTCTCCTTCCGCGCGAGCCCGAGGCCCTGGAGACCCCTGCCTGGGTTGGGGGCCATCCTCTGTGCCCCTGTTCCTGGGGCCCCCAGGGGCTTGGGGCTGCCTTCCACTTCCACCCGTGGGCCGTGGCCTCTTCAAGGCCCCCCGGGGCCCCTCCTGGTCAGCGTCGCTGGGTTTGACCAGTGTAGGCATCCAGGGAACGCAGCGCAGATGCGCCCCTTTCCTGAAGCTGGAGTTGAGGGTCGGGGGTGGGGGCCCAGCTGCCCTAGGCCTCTGTGAGCAGTGCAGCCAGGGGGCCTGGAGAAAGTGAAGCCCCGTTTCCCTCGGTCTTGGCCCAGCCAGTCCGGGGCCTGGGCGGCCAGTGACTTCTAGGCTGGCGGCCTCGGCCCTGGCAATCCCACTGGAGACGAGCTCCTGTTTTGTGCTGGAAACTCGAGCCCTTGTTCAGGGAGCTCAGACTGAGGCTGAGGTTGGATCGTGAGGCTCTGTGCTCCCTGGGGAGGGGGCTCACAGCAGGTGAGTGTGGGCCTGAGATGTCGGGGGCGGGGAGGTTCACAGCTCTCAGCGCTGCCTCGTGCTGCTGGAAATGGGCCACCCCCTGGGGCCAGCCGGTGTGGAGGGCATCCGTGTCTGGGGCCCCAGCGGGCCATCCTGGGGCTTCTAGGCAGGCAGGCAGGCGATGAGCCAGACCCCCGGGGTAGAGCTGCAGGCCTAAGCCTCTGCCTCTCCCGAGCCCCCCCTCTGCCCCACTCACCGACTGACCGCTGCGTGGCCAGCGCTGACTGTGTCCCCGGCTTTGGTGTCACCGGGCCCAGTGGCCTTGGCTCACATGTTAGGCTAGAGGCAGTCTCCGAGAGCCACTTCCCGCGGGAGCCTGGACGGCCCAGGGCAGAGACTCGCTCCCTGCCGCTGCTGAGGTCACCCGGGCTCTGCGGGGTGGCTGAACTGGGCCCAGGAAGTGGAGGCGGGCCCCAGGTGGCCTGCAGGCCTTGGTCTCCCCCCCTCTTCCGCGTAGATGGGCCCTTCCGCTCCCCGTCTCACCGGCACACAGAGTGCTGACGGAGCCAGGTGTGACCTGTGGGGGTGGGGAGCGGTGGGGTTCAGGGCATTCCCGGACATTGTGACGACCAGACCCCCCGACACAGGGCCCTTCGGGGACATGCCGAAGCGGCTCTCTCGGTACACGGCGGCTCAGCCACCCTGGAGGGCCCCTGCCCGAGGTGCCCCCACCTCTGCACCAAGCAGCCTTGTCCGCAGCGGCGAGGCCACTCTCGCTGGCAAGTGACCTTCAGGAAGGAGGTGACCCGAGGAAGCTTGAGCCGCTGTGGGCCCCGTCTTCAGCGAACGCCTGCGAGCTGGGTGGCGGCCCTGGGGACGCCGCGTGGAGTCCCCGGTAGGTCTCTGTAGCAGAGAAGCCGTGCTGACCGAAGGCGTTTGAGTTCCCAAACCTCTTACCCACCTGAAAGCAGAGACTCCCGCGAGAACTCTGAAGAAGCCGGTTCTCACAGATGCCCTCCTTGGAGCCACCAGGGAAGACGGTCTCCGCGGGGACTTGGGGCTGCACCCTGCCCCCGAGCAGACACGTGCGAAGCGCCCACAGCCCGCCTCCTCCCCAGGGCCCGGCGGTTTTCTCCTGCCAGTGCCCTTCCCCCCTCCCCTCCCTCGTCCTGTCCCCCTAAGGCAGCACCCCACATTCTAATTCTCCCTCTGATCATATTTCTCCGTAAACTCCCAACCATATATGCACAGGAATAAGTCTGTCTGTTCTCTCCATAATCTGTCTCTTGCCAGTTTAATTTGCAGGCCTCCAAAACTGAACCTAAGAGGATGGGGAAAAGATCCGCCTCCCTGACGGGAGATGTTTCTAGGGCCTCTTGAGTGCCGAGGGGAGCCGGGATGAAGGGGGGAGGTGGGCCTGCTCTCCCAGGATGACGTCTACTGACCTCCTGCCTGCCGTGCACCACGTGGTCGGGGTCCCTGCGTCTGCTTGGCCAGCCTGGTGAACTCCTGTTCACCCGTCCAAGCCCTTCACAGGCGCTCCTGCTTTCTTGTGTTTTCGCTGCCCTCCGTGACTCAGGTCCTGTACCAGCTGGCTCAGGTACAATGAGGTCCTTGATGTTCGGAACCACGCACGGGTGGGAAGGTGAGGCTTCGGCCCCTAGGGCTGACACTGGAGCTGTTCTCCCCAGGACGGCCCCTCCCAGGACACCCCCTGACCCGGCTGGAGCGGCCACCCCCCGCCCCCATTTCGGTCGTCTGCTCTGAGGTCTGGGCCTCGGTTTCTCCCCTGCACTGTGAGAGGTTTTCACCAGTAGACCTGGGCCCCTTTTGGCCCAGAAAGTCCATGCACAGTAGAAGACCGTCCACACGGACACAGCGTTGCTATTTAGCAACTGCAGAAACAAACTCACCATGAGTTGTATCTTGGCCCGCAGATGAGGCCGTTGGAAGCCTGCAGGCCGGCCTCTCCCGCCCCGCGTGCCCAGCAGCTGGGAGCCGGCGCTGGGAAGCGGGTCGGGCTTGTTTCATGTCAGGACGTCTCGGGCCGCGGCGCAGCCTCCGCGTTGCCAAAACAATGTTTCCAACATCTCGGAAAATGTGCGGCCACTTCTTTTCCACGGGACTCACGCCGAGTCCTCCTCCTGGCTCCTCGGGTGAGGGTGGAGACTGAGAGAGGGCGGAGGGGGGCGGCCGGTTACAGAAGAGAGAGAGAGAGAGGGAGGGGGGGAGAGGGAGGGAGAGAGAGAGAGAGAGGGAGAGAGGGAGAGAGAGAGGGAGGGGGCCGGGACACTGGCAGCTCCGTCCTCAGAGGTGCCCCACCCTCCCGTGCCCCCCGAGCCCTCTCTTCCAGCCCCCCCTTCTCTGCCCCTCCGACCCCCACCTCCTGGCATCCCTTTCACCTGCCCAAGAGCTCCAGAGTCTGTCTCTGTTTCTCTCGGTCTCCAGACTCCCCTGGGACCTGTGCATAAACCCATTTCACAGATGAGCAGCTGAGGCCAGGGCAGGGGCATGGCTGACTCTGACCCACCCAGCGTGAAAGCTGGGAGCAGGACCAGCGGCAGATTCACGGGCCCTGGTGCAGAATGAGAGCGTGGGTTTCCTCCTTCGAGAAAGACTGGGAACCTCAAGAGGGCAAGCGCAGAGTGCACGTCCTCAGCAGGGCCGGCCGGGGTCCTGGTCCCCCCGCCTGCGCTCTCCCTGCTGCGTGGCCGCAGGAAGCAGGACTGACGGCCCGTCACAGCCTCCTGCCCCGCTGACCCCATGGGCCCTGCGGCTTTGGACACTAGGGGGCAGAGGAAGCCCACCAAGAGGGGCCTGGTGCAGGCAGCTGGGGGACCGCAGGGACATCTGGCGGGGCGGGGGCTCCCAGGTGCTGCCCTGGGCTCCGGGTCTGCAGGGACCGTCAGAGGCTCAGCGCCTGGCCTCCGGGCTCCGGGAGCTGGAGGGCCAGCCGACCTCACGTGGGGGCCTCGGGCCGGGCAAGTCACCCAGCAGGTCACCCGGCCCCTCCCCGGTTCCCAGCCAAATGGGGGCCCTGGCCCCGACCCTGGGGATGGTCTGAGGGTCGTTCCCTTCCCGCGTGACGCCAGGGGCTGGGCCCGCGCCTCCCTGTCCTGGGTCCGCGTGGAGTCCATTCGCCAGTGGGGCCTGGGCTGTCCCGTTTCTGGGGGACTGCGGGCCTCCGGGGGTCCTTGGCTCCACCTGCCAGGTCCCCAACTAGAGTCAGGGCCCTCGGGCCAGGCCTGGCCCCACAGTCAGCGTTTCCCGGGAGAGGGCTGGCAGCTGAGCAGGGGGCTTCTCGGGCCTTGAGGGTACAGATGGCATCTGAGGGCGCCTGGCCCTCCCCACACAGGGATCTGGACCCCGAGGAGCCGTGGCCTGCCCTTCCCGAGGCCCCAGCAGGGCTGGAGGGTCATCAGGCCTTCCCCACTCGTGGTGCCTCCAGGGGAAGCAACGGGAGCCCCCGGCTGCCCCCGCTCGAACTCCCCTCCGCACGGCTCACCGCACCCACGCTGGGTGTCTGTCCAGGAGGTGAGGCTGCTGGCCTGTGCTGACTTTCGGGAGGAGGAAGTTCTAGGTCCTCTGACTTGAGCCCACTTCATTTGGGAAATTGGGGGCTGGGTGGGAGCTCCATCTCAGCCCCAGGCCGAGCTCCGCTGAGCATCGGGGCTCAGCTCTGCCATCTGACCTGGACTGAGCCCGGCTTCCGCACCCAGGAGCCGCCCACCCGGGGAGGGGACCCGCGAGCCCCTGGGCGCCCGTCCGTGTCCGGGGTGGCATCCTTCCTTCCGGGCTGTTGGGAGACCGTGTGCATCCTGAGCCTGGGGCCCAGCCGCCCCCTGTCAGCACAGCCCTTCCAGCTTCTGCCTTTCCTTCTGGGAGACTGCAAGGAGGTGGGTGGCAAGGGCGTGGAGGGGGCGCAGGCAGGGGCCGGGCAGGCCTATGTCTCCTCCTGTGAGTCCGCGAGCCCTGAGTGCCCACCGGCAGCCCCCACTGCACTGCTGACCACCCTCCTGCAGACCCCCTCCTTCCCCCGACTTCCCCCGGGGAGCTGCCCAAACCCTAGCCACGCAGGCCCTTGCAGACCCTTGCAGACCCCTCGGGATGGGGGGATGTACCAGGCAAATGCTCAGAACCTTCCAGAACTGCCTCCTGGGTGTCCTGTCATTTCAGGCTTCCCCCAGAGGGCTGCAAGCAGCGGGATCTGCAGAGGGCCAGTCCCCCCCACCCCCGCCGCCCTGTGCAAGGTTTTCCTTCCACACTGCCTTGGACGGTGTGTCCCCAGGGTCCTCAGGGTGGGACTTCCCGGGGAGGATTTCGCGTGGCCTGGAGGGGGCACCCAACGTCCAGCTGGGAGACACTTGAGGCTCCGACGTGGTGGGGCTCGGTGCGGGTTTGGGGAGAGGCTGGGGGTCTGCTGGGCACTCTTGCTTTCCTCCCCGCAGGCATCGGGTGTCTGCCCATCGGGACAAGGGGGCAGAGGCAGCCCATCGGACCCTGGGGCACTGCTTGGCCTGCTCTGCCCACCGCGCGGTGGCCTCCTGGGCTCGCCTCCCAC